GACAAGTCAAGGGATATAGACAAGGCAGGAAAGATATAACAAGACAAAGGAGATAAGACAAGTCAAGGAATACATGACAAGAGAGGGGAGATAAGAAAAGGCAGGGGAGATATGAAAAGGCAGGCGAGATATGAAGGCAGGGGAGATATGAAAAGGCAGGGGAGATAAAACAAGTCAAGGGAGATATGACAAGTCAAGGGAGATATGACAAGAAAGGGGAGATATGACAAGCAGGGGAGGAATGACAAGACACATGAGCTATGACAAGACAAATGAGATATGAAAAGGCATGGGAGATATGACAAAATAAGGGAGATAGAAAAAGACAAGAGATATGAAGATAGGGCAGATATAAAAAAGACAAAAGAGATATGACAAGACAAGGTAGATATGACAAGTCAAGGAATACATGACAAGATAGGGCAGATATAAAAAAGACAAAAGAGATATGACAAGACACAGCAGTAAAGACATGTTAGGGCAACAGTTGTGTACATTTTAGAATATACTAAGAAGTGATGAGGTGTGTACATTTTAGAATATGCTAAGAAGTGATGAGGTGTGTACATTTTAGAATATGCTAAGAAGTGATGAGGTGTGTACATTTTAGAATATGCTAAGAAGTGATGAGAGGTGTACATTTAAGAGTGTATGCCAACAAGTGATGAGATGTGTACATTTAAGAGTGTATGCTAACAAGTGATGAGATGTGTACATTTAAGAGTGTATGCTAACAAGTGATGAGATGTGTACATTTAAGAGTGTATGCTAACAAGTGATGAGATGTGTACATTTAAGAGTGTATGCTAACAAGTGATGAGATGTGTACATTTAAGAGTGTATGCTAACAAGTGATGAGATGTGTACATTTAAGAGTGTATGCTAACAAGTGATGAGATGTGTACATTCAAGAGTGTATGCTAACAAGTGATGAGATGTGTACATTCAAGAGTGTATGCTAACAAGTGATGAGATGTGTACATTCAAGAGTGTATGCTAACAAGTGATGAGATGTGTACATTTAAGAGTGTATGCTAACAAGTGATGAGATGTGTACATTCAAGAGTGTATGCTAACAAGTTATGAGGGGTGAACATTTAAGAGTGTATGCTAACAAGTTATGAGAGGTGTGCATTTTAGAATGTATGCTAACAAGTTATGAGAGGTGTGCATTGTAGAGAGTATTAAAATGATGAGATGTATACATTGTAGAGTATATGAAAGTGATGAGATGTATACATTGTAGAGTATATGAAAGTGATGAGATGTATACATTGTAGAGTATATGAAAGTGATGAGATGTATACATTGTAGAGTATATGAAAGTGATGAGATGTATACATTGTAGAGTATATGAAAGTGATGAGATGTATACATTGTAGAGTATATGAAAGTGATGAGATGTATACATTGTAGAGTATATGAAAGTGATGAGATGTATACATTGTAGAGTATATGAAAGTGATGTGATGTATACATTGTAGAGTATATGAAAACAAGGATCACATGTGTAAATTTCAAAGTAGAAAATGCAAAGTTACCTGTGATATTGTGTGGAAACATTGCGTAGATCATGCCCACTTTCATTACAGTTAATAAATAATAGATTGCATCTACAATAAGTATAAAAAAACATATCTGGATTTCAGATAGCCACCCACAAACAGGTCAATAAATAAATCAACAAACAAACTGTACATTTTGATCTCCTTAATGTGCTCATGAAATATCACAATTAGGTAAAGCTAAGAGATGATTGGCTGAGACACAGCACAGCTGAGCCAATCCTTGAGCTTATTATAAGTTATGTGAATGATCCATTGAAATGACTGACATGAGAAAACCCACCCACCAAGTACAACAACTTGATCCCAGCACAGCTGGTGATGCAATTAAAAAAAAAAACCAACACACAGACCTAGTTATTGATCTCAGCTGTAGAATCAGTTTCTGTCATACTTCCCTCTGACTTTTTAGCAGACCCTAGTTACTGACCTCACACTTCCCACTGACCTTTCAGCAGACCCTAGTTACTGACCTCAGCTGTAGAATCAGTTTCTTTCACACTCCCCACTGACCTCTCAGCAGACCCTAGTGACTGACCTTACACTTCCCACTGACCTTTCAGCAAACTCTAGTTACTGACCTCACACTTCCCACTGACCTTTCAGCAGACCCTAGTTACTGACCCCACACTTCCCACTGACCTTTCAGCAGACCCTAGTTACTGACCCCACACTTCCCACTGACCTTTCAGCAGACCCTAGTTACTGACCCCACACTTCCCACTGACCTTTCAGCAGACCCTAGTTACTGACCCCACACTTCCCACTGACATTTCAGCAGACCCTAGTGACTGACCCCACACTTCCCACTAACCTTTCAGCAGACTCTACAGACCCTAGTTACTGACCTCACACTTCCCACTGACCTTTCAGCAGACCCTAGTGACTGACCCCACACTTCCCACTGACCTTTCAGCAGACTGGTCTACCCTAGTGACTGACCTCACACTTCCCACTGACCTTTCAGCAGACTCTACAGACCCTAGTGACTGACCTCACACTTCCCACTGACCTTTCAGCAGACTCTACAGACCCTAGTGACTGCAGACCCTAGTGACTGACCTCAGCTGTAGAATCAGTTCCTGTTTGTCTTCATGGCATGTCAGCTATATATTGTGGGTCTTCCCCTTCTTCTTCACATTCACCGGCTGTAAACTCTTGCAGAAAGTTCTGGTTGTTCATCCACTTCTGGATTTTAGCCTTGATATAGAACTTTCTGTTTTGTGTACACATCAGTTATCCAGATCTGGCTTATAAGTATGCAGACTGTTGGTTTCTGGTTTGGAAGGAAACATCCCTAATTCCCTAATTAGTCCACATCACATGCTGGGGGGGGGGGGGGGGGGGACAAGTCAGAAAGAACTACAGAAAATGATAGACATTGTGGTGGTACAAAGTGGAAGAATGGGCCTCAGTTTGAATAATGTGAAGACAAAAGTAATGGTGGTATCAAAGAAAAGAATTATTCCTAAATGTGTATTAAAAGTCAGTGGTGTTATTTTGGGACAAATAAAGAAATTTAAGTATCTGGGCACACGGATAACATCAGATGGAAGCTGCATAACTGAGATAAGAAACAAAATAGGACAGGCAAAAACTGCATTTTATAAAATGAAGAATATCTTATGCATATATCTTTGTTATTGTGAGTTAGAAAAAGAATTCTTGCTTGCTACATACATCTAGTTTTAACATATGGTTGTGAATCGTGGACAATCGATAGGCAGGCCAAACAATTTCTTGAGGCCTCAGAGATGAGGTTTTACAGAAGAATGCCTAAAATACCCTGGACTTCCCAAAACAATGGAGCTCCAGAACAAAACATGGGGATCATGTGGGTCTGATACTGTAGAGATTTAGACACAAGATCATTGAGTGACATGGTGAACATACACACACACTCCAGGGATGTCTAACATACAGGAGCCAGCCGGTGTGTACACTTACTGCTGCCAGGTTTCCAATCACACAATCATCTACATACATGTTCAGTAATGTACACATCAGTTAGATCATTATGTGTATATATTGTATCTGTATAGAAATTGTTCAATAATTGAATAATACAGTGACTCAAACCAGCTGAGTTCATGTTAATGGAAAGGAGAAATGATTGAATGAGAACTTACAAGTTAGTTGTCATATAAGAAATATTTGATTGAGAACAAACCCACTAGTTCTTAATGGCAGAAAAGAGAAATATTTGATTGAGAACAAACCCACTAGTTCTTAATGGCAGAAAAAAGAAATAGTTGAGAACAAACCCACTAGTTCTTAATGGCAGAAAAGAGAAATAGTTGATTGAGAACAAACCCACTAGTTCTCAATGACAGAAAAGAGAAATAGTTTGTTGAGAACAAACTTGCTGAGTTAGGTTTGATGGATTAGAAATTGTTGATAAAACATCTCAGACAGATGATGATGGTCGATATGCTCATCATGACTGGTGCCATATTCTCTTTCTTTGTTAACTTTTTTTTCCCTAAATGACAGGGAATGTAAATGAAACAATCAATGATGGCAAGTTTCTGGGAGAGACATTTAACTGACAGGGAATGTAAATGAAACAATCAATGATGGCAAGTTTCTGGGAGAGACATGTAACTGACAGGGAATGTAAATGAAACAATCAATGATGGCAAGTTTCTGGGAGAGACATGTAACTGGCAGGGAATGTGAATGGAACAATGATGTCAAGTTTCTGGGAGAGACTTGTTAACTGGCAGGGAGTGTGAATGGAACAATGATGGCAAGTTTCTGGGAGAGACATGTAACTGACAGGGAATGTAAATGAAACAATCAATGATGGCAAGTTTCTGGGAGAGACATGTAACTGGCAGGGAATGTGAATGGAACAATGATGTCAAGTTTCTGGGAGAGACTTGTTAACTGGCAGGGAGTGTGAATGGAACAATGATGGCAAGTTTCTGGGAGAGACATATTAACTGGCAGGGAATGTAAATGGAACAATCAATGATGGCAAGTTTCTGGGAGAGACATGTGACCGGCTGGTGTGTCTGGTTGACTTCCTCCATTTGAGTGTAGCTGGTTGAGGATGTGGTCGTAGAGCAGCTGGGAACACCTTTAGTCCAAGTTTATCGTGAGACCATAATTTTGTCCTTGGCTCTCATTTGATCTCGTATGTCAAGATGTGCATCTAGACTTACTGCAACACCCATGACCGGTTGAAGTGTCTTGTTCTCTTCCTCTAGCATACTGCCTGTATTCAAAGTCACTCAGTTGAAGAACTACACACATACTTGTTGTGAGTTGAGGAACTACACACATATTCCTGTGAGTTGAGGAACTACACACATATTCCTGTGAGTTGAGGAACTACACACATACTTCCTGTGAGTGCAGGTGAGCGGTTGCCACACTGTGGGTGGTGATATTTCTGTTGGACAATTTTTCATTCTAAAATAAAACTTGCAGTTATGCTGGTGAGTTGACTGGCGCGTTTTCTCCACCGGAGTTGTTTGCGTATGATGAAGGTGTGCTGTTGTTACCTGAGTTTGGACCTGCTGACTGGCCGTATATGGGCATTGGGGATTTGTCCATTACAGGTCTGTCTATGAACTGTTACAGAAGGAACATCAAACATACATTAATGTCAGGCTGCTGATATGTCTGTGTTATGTCTCATCTTGTGTCTCTATATGATGTCACATTCTGTGTCTCTGTGTGGTGTCACATTCTGTGTCTCTGTATGATGTCACATTTTGTGTCTCTATATGATGTCACATTCTGTGTCTCAATATGATGTCAAATTCTGTGACACTATATGATGTCACATTTTGTGTCTCTATATAATGTCACATTCTGTGTCTTTTTAAGATGTCACAGTGTCTCTATATGATGTAACATTCTGTTTCTGTATATAATGTCACAAATTGCTTCCCTATGATGTAATTTTATGTTTCTGCAGTAGCTGATAGGTCAGCAAATGTGCAGAGAGGTCTTGTGTGGTAATATGTGGTTGTGTGTGATAATATTAGATTATGTGTGGTTATGTATGGTCATGTGTGGTTATATATGGTCAGGTATTATTGTGAATGAGTGAGTTAGTGAGTGTGGTAATGTATGGCCGTGTGGGGTTATGTGTTGTTAGTTGTGGAAATTTGTGTTTATGTGTGATTGGAGCAGTAATGTGATTGTGTGTGGTAATGTGTGATTGTGTGTGGTAATGTGTGATTGTGTGTGATAATGTGTGGTAGTGTGAGGTTATGTTTGATTATGTGTGTGGTAGTGGGATGTTATATGGTATCCAATGTGTGATAAAATGATCTTTAAATGAACAATGAACAATGTATGGTAATGTGTTGTGATAAGTGATTCTGTGTGATATTGTGTGGTAATGTGAAGTGGTAATAGGTGGTCATAACTAATTGTAAGTGGTAGTGTGATGTTATATATGGTAATATGTGAGTATGTGCAGTAGTGTGATGTTATGTGTGGTTATGTGTGATAAGTAAGGATATTGTTGTTGCTATTGTGTGGTAGTACTATGAGTTGATGCGAGGTCAAGTGTGGCTGCGAATAGATACTTACAAAAGCGAAATTAGAGGGATTAGAATTCTGGTCTGCATTTTGGTTCTCCGTGTACTCACTGAAGTCAATGCTGTGGACGCCAGAGAAATCAACTAATTACTGTGTGGTAAGATTACTTTAAAAACACTATGATAAAACATTCACTTGAAAAAAAAACACACAAAAACTGTGTGTAAGCATTCACCTTATAAAACTGTGTGGAAACCTTGTCTTGATAATACTGTGTGGAAACTGATTTTTTCTTCTTCTTCTTTTTTCATTAGCTTCAAAAAGATTATCTATATCTGCAGTGTTGTCTCTAGTATGAACTTCACTGTCTTTTGTAATTTACTCAGCGACCTGTAAAGTTTGACTTGCACCCATATTTATCTTGGCCAAAAGTTTTGCCTTGATATATTTATTTGGGACAGTCTTGGAGGACATGATCTGTTGTCTCAGGTGCCAGTCCACATGTGCACATGGCTGATTCACTGGTTTTAAATTTCGTGTTCATGTGGTAGCAAAGTCAGTTGTGTCCTGTTCTAAGGCGTATAGAATTGAAACTTGTTCTGGTCTGTCCATCAAATGGTAATTGTCTTGTGCCAGTTTTTGTGGCTTTCTGATTGATTTGATTATTCTCTTCTTCTGTTGATAAAAGGCTGGTACGTCAGGTTGTTCTTCATTTGCTCCTTCCTTAGCTAGTTTATCAGCTATTTCATTTCCAGGAACTCCACAGTGGGAAGGTATCCATTGCATAGTTACCTTACACCAGCTGTCTAGTTTGGAGAGTAGTGTTCGTATACCAGGTAGTTTTCCAGATTGGAGCGCCTGAAGCACAGCTCTTGCATCTGTTATGAATACCACGGGTTGTGAAATATGACAGTTTCTCTGCTGCTATTTTGATGGCTTGAACTTCTGCATCATAGTTGTGACAGTGTTTTCCTGTAGGTATTTTGGCTGTTAACCTGGTATTATTCGGATGCTCAATTTACACTCCGGCTCCTCCATTTCTGCTTGTGTTTTGTGCTGACCCATCTGATGGACACAAACCCAAAGATTATGTGGGTATTCATCATCAAGTAGAGCAAGGGTGGCTGTTTTATGTTGCACTGTTTTGTTCTTTTGTGTCCAATACTCCTTTCAATTCTGTCTGGATGTGTATTGGCAACTTATAATCCTCTTTCCAGGGGGTCTGATCTGGAATAGCATTTAAGGGACTATTTGCTGCAGGCAGATCATAGGTTTGCCTGCAGATTCGTTGGGTCTGGTGGATGAAACTGCATCTTTTTAGTCGCCCTATTGCTAGACTTATGAATCTTTCTTTTATAGGGTGTTCAGACATGCTAAGAAACTTTTCTACTTGTATTAGTATCTTAGTGTCTCTTCGTTCTGTCAGTGTTTGAGTCGTCGCCATCTTCTCTATCACAACTATAGGTGTTGATTTTATCCTGTCTGTTATGACTCTGAGCGCTTGATTTTACACCTTGTCTAACTTTTGTAGTGTGGTTTTTGATGCTAAACTCCATGCAGGAGACCCGTGTTCAAGATGTGGTCGTACACTTTCTTGATAAAGTTTCCTAAGTATTTTCTCATTAGCGCCCCATGTAGTTCAACTTAGTTTTCTAGGATAGCTATCTTACTTCTGGCTTTGGTTGCTGCCTTGTTGGTGTGTTTTCTCCATGTTAGCTTATCATCACGTGACTGCGAGGTATGTGGGCTCCTTATCCTCTCTTAGTAGTATTCTATTTATCTGAATGATGCCTGATTTTTGTTTGGGAAGAGGGTGAAGTGCATGGTGCTACACTTGTCTATGTTGATGCTGAGACACCATTTGTCAGCCCATGCAGCCACTGCATCTATGGATCTTTGTAGCAGTCAAGTGGCCACTGTTTCACATTTCTTTGTGCACCAGAGAACCAGGTCTTCAGCACACATTGCAGCTTCAATACCATGGGGTAGTTCAGCAAATAGGTCGTTGATGTAGACCAGAAACAGTGTTGAGGACAAAACACCACCTTGGAGAACACCACGGTGCAGCAAGACTTTCTTGCTCTTGAGTCTGTCTATCTGTACTCGGGCTCTTCTGTTATGCAAGCATGATTTCACCCATCTGTACATATTCCCATTCACTTTGTAGTTTCTCAGTTTCTTCATGAGACCTTCTTTCCAAACCTAATCAAAAGCTTTATTCAAATATATCCATGCTACAAGCACTAGTTTCTTTTCTTGGAAGGCATCTTCAATTTCTTGAGAGAGGTTAAGTTGTCCGGTCTTCTGTAGAGTAACACTGTCTAAAGCCTGCCTGCTGCGGCATGAAGATGTTTTTCACAGAGTGCCATGTACAGAGTGCCATGTACAGGGTGCCATGTACAGGGTGCCATGTACAGGGTGCCATGTACAGAGGGCCATGTACAGAGGGCCATGTACAGAGTGCCATGTACAGAGTGCCATGTACAGAGTGCCATGTACAGAGTGCCGTGTACAGAGTGCCATGTACAGAGTGCCATGTACAGAGTGCCATGTACAGAGTGTCATGTACAGAGGGCCATGTACAGAGTGCCATGTACAGAGGGCCATGTACAGAGTGCCATGTACAGAGTGCCATGTACAGAGTGCCATGTATAGGGTGCCATGTACAGAGTGTCATGTACAGAGGGCCATGTACAGAGTGTCATGTACAGAGTGCCATGTACAGGGTGCCATGTACAGAGTGCCGTGTACAGAGGGCCATGTACAGAGGGCCATGTACAGAGTGCCATGTACAGAGGGCCATGTACAGAGTGCCATGTACAGAGGGCCATGTACAGAGTGCCAGAGGGCCGTGTACAGAGTGCCATTACAGAGGGCCATGTACAGAGTGAAATGTACAGAGTGCCAGAAGGCCGTGTACAGAGTGCCATGTAGAGGGTGCCGTGTACAGAGTGTCGTGTACAGGGTGCTGTGTACAGAGTGCCGTGTACAGAGTGCCGTGTACAGGGTGCCGTGTACAGAGTGCCGTGTACAGGGTGCCGTGTACAGAGTGCTTGCACTTTAATTACCCTATAGAGAGACGTGAATGACAGAACTAAACTGACCATGTCCTAGAGTAGAGCAATCCAGGTGAGTTAGTTACACAAGCACGCACACAATATATGCACACACACAATCGTTGTCCAGAGCAGAATGTGGTTAGACTTACTCCTGTTTGCGTCTGGCACCCATTGCCATCATGCCCGCTGTGCCCGCTGCTGCCCCCATCAGTAGAGCACTGCCAGCGACCACTCCTGCAATTTGCCCAGCATCCAGGGAGTTGTCCTCAGTCTGACAGTCTTCACCTGTGTACCCGTCTGCACACCTGATTCAGAACAAACAATCACTTGATAAAAAAGATGAGACTTATCTCTTAAACAGGCCACAACACAACAATGTTTAGCCTGTACTTCAATCCTTGACATCCCCCAGTGTGTCCCCCCAGTCCTTGACATCCCCCAGTGTGTCCCCTAGTCCTTGACATTCCCCAGTGTGTCCCCCATTCCTTGACATCCCCCAGTGTGTCCCCTAGTCCTTCACTTCCACCCAGTGTGTCCCCCAGTCCTTGACATCTCCCAGTGTGTCCCCTAGTCCTTCACATCCACCCAGTGTGTCCCCCCAGTCTTTGACATCCCCCAGTGTGTCCCCCCAGTCTTTGACATCACCCAGTGTGTCCCCCAGTCTTTGACATAATCCAGTGTGTCCCCCAGTCTTTGACATCACCCAGTGTGTCCCCCAGTCCTTGACATCACCCAGTGTGTCCCCCAGTCTTTGACATCACCCAGTGTGTCCCCCAGTCTTTGATGACACCCAGTGTGTCCCCCAGTCTTTGACATCCCCAAGTCCTTGACATCCCCCAGTGTGTCCCCCAGTCTTTGACATCACCCAGTGTGTCCCCCAGTCCTTGACATCCCCCAGTGTGTCCCCCAGTATTTGACATCACCCAGTGTGTCCCCCAGTCTTTGACATCACCCAGTGTGTCCCCCAGTCCTTGACATCACCCAGTGTGTCCCCCAGTCTTTGACATCACCCAGTGTGTTCCCCAGTCTTTGACATCACCCAGTGTGTTCCCTAGTCCTTGACATCACCCAGTGTGTTCCCTAGTCCTTGACATCACCCAGTGTGTTCCCTAGTCCTTGACATCACCCAGTGTGTCCCCCAGTCTTTGACATCACCCAGTGTGTCCCCCAGTCCTTGACATCACCCAGTGTGTCCCCCAGTCTTTGACATCACCCAGTGTGTTCCCTAGTCCTTGACATCACCCAGTGTGTCCCCCAGACTTTGATATCACCCAGTGTGTCCCCCAGTCTTTGACATCCCCCAGTGTGTCCCCCGGTCCTTGACATTCCCCAGTGTGTCCCCCAGTCCTTGACATCATCCAGTGTGTACCCCAGTTCTTGACATCCCCCAGTGTGTCCCCCAGTCCTTGACATCCCCCAGTGTGTCCCCCAGTCTTTGTCATCACCCAGAGTGTACCCCAGTTCTTGACATCACCCAGTGTTACCCAGTTCTTGACATCACCGAGATTGTCCAGTCCTTGGGGTGACTCATGCCATTATAATTCCTCGAATGATAAAAAGAAAAAAGATCTGGAATCCACCTATGAGTTGAAATGGTGAAGCCTATTCATGTTCACAGGATGAAATCTGCCCATGTTTACAGGATGAAATCTGCCCATGTTCACAGAACGAAATCTGCCCATTTTCACAGACTATCTATCCATTTTCACAGATTTAAATCTATGCATTTTCACAGATTGAAATTTATCCATATTCATGGTATTAAATATGTCAATATTCACTGGATTAAATCTTTCCATGTTCACAAGATAAAGTCTATTCACATTTAAAGGATAAAATCTATCCATTTCACTAAATAGAAATCTAACCATGTTTACATGATAAAATCTATCTTCAAGCTGACATGATGATTATCTACAACAATTAAATCTGTACACATAAACAATGTGAAATCTATATCAAATTATCTACAAGTTCCTAAGATGAAATCTATCCTTGTTTACAAGATAACAATCTATCCATGTTCCAGGATGAAATCAAACCACATTCATAGGATGTTATCTGTCCAGGCTGACTGTATGAAATCTATCTACAATCATGGGATGATATCTATCCAGGTTGACTATGACATCTATCTACAATCATGGGATGATATCTATCCAGGCTGACTGTATGAAATCTATCTACAATCATGGGATGATATCTATCCAGGCTGACTGTATGACATCTATCTACAATCATGGGATGATATCTATTCAGGCAGACTGGATCAAAACTATCCACATTCACAAGATGAAATCTTTCCACAAATTCAGAGGTTGAGATCTATCCACAAATTCACAGGGTGAAATGTGTGCAAATTCACGGGATGAAATCTGCCAGCAAGTTGACTTGATGACATCTATCCATGTTTAGATGATGCAATCTATCCATGTTCACATGATGAAATCTATCTACATTTACATGATGAAATCTATCCATGTTGACATGATGAAATCTACATTTACATGATGACATCTATCCATGTTTAGATGATGAAATCTATCTATGCTCACATGATGAAATCTACGTTTACATGATGAAATCTATCCATGCTCACATGATGAAATCTACGTTTACATGATGAAATCTGCAAGCAAGTTGACTTGATGACATCTATCCATGTTTAGATGATGAAATCTATCCATGTTCACATGATGAAATCTATCTACGTTTACATGATGAAATCTATCCATGTTTACATGATGAAATCTATCCATGTTCTCATGATGAAATCTGTCTACTTTTACATGATGAAATCTATCCTTGTTTACATGATGAAATCTATCCTTGTTTACATGATGAAATCTATCCTTGTTTACATGATGAAATCTATCCTTGTTTACATGATGAAATCTATCCTTGTTTACATGATGAAATCTATTCATGTCTACATGATGAAATCTATCTAAAAGGTGACATGATGAAATCTATCTAAAAGGTGACATGATGAAATCTATCTAAAAGGTGACATGATGAAATCTATCTAAAAAGTGACATGATGAAATCTATCCATGTTTACATGATGAAATCTATCCATGTTTACATGATGAAATCTATCTAAAAGGTGACATGATGAAATCTAACCACAGACTGACATGCTAGATAAATACTCACTGACAAACAGCATTTCCCGCAGAATCTAACTGACACTGTGCAGCATTCTGACACTCAGTGGCACGAGAGTTACAGTTGTGGAGACATTTGATCTGAAGGGCACTGAGAGCCTCACACATGTCGTACCCCAGGGGACAGGAGTTGGTGCTGCATGGATCTCTGGCTTGATTCTCCACTGTTCAAACAAATTAGAAAGTACAAACACGTGTTGGGGGGGGGGGGGGGGGGGGGGGGGGTGAGAGAGAGAGAGAGAGACGGAGATGGTATTGCCTTTTGTAATCTCACTTATGTTTACTGGCATAAGACTGGATTATAAAGACGTATAATTATGAGAAGAATAAGAAACAAAATTAAACCAAAAATCAGCGATAAACAATGTGGATTTGTAGAAGGAAAAGGTACAAACAATGCCATTTACATCCTAAGGACATTGTCAGAAATAGCTATAGAAGTAAAGACTGATTTGTACTTCTGCTTCATAAACTTTACAAAAGCATTTGACTGTAAAACATGAAGAAGTAATCAAACTGTTAGAAAAATTTAACATTGATGGAAAAGATCTACCAATAATGAAGAATATGTATTAGCAGCAAACAGCACTGTAAGAACTAACAACTGTTTAGGTACATTTTCAAAGCATAAAGAGAGGCGTACGACAAGGATGTGTACTGTCACCTGATTTGTTTTCAATATACAGTGAATATATAATGAGATCTTTGATATGCCCGGAATTGTGGTTGGTGGGCACAATATAAACAATTTAGGTTATGCTGATGACAGTCTTGATAGCAACAAGTCAGAAAGAACTACAGAAAATGATAGACATTGTGGTGGTACAAAGTTGAAGAATGTGCTTCAGTTTGAATAATGGAAAAAAAAAAGGAAGTAATGGTGGTATCAAAGAAAAGAATTATTCCTAAATGTGTAATAAACGTCAGTGGTGTAATTTTGGGACAAGTACATAAATTTAAGTATCTGGGCACATGGATAACATCAGATGGAAGACGCATTACTGAGATAAGAAACAGAATAGGACAGGCAAAAACTGCATTTAATAAAAAAAAAGAACATCTTATGCAATATATCTTTGTCAATGAGGGTTAGAAAAAGAATTCTTGCTTGCTACATACATCCAGTTTTAACATATGGCTGTGAGTCATGGACAATCAGTATGCAGGCCAAACAATTTCTTGAAGCCTCAGAGATGTGGTTTTACAGAATAATGCCTAGAATACATTGGACAGCCAAAAAAGAGCAACCAAGAGGTTTTGAAAGAGGCGGAAGCCCAAAGACAACTGATCACAGACATCAGAAGGAGGCAGTCATCATTTTTCGACCATGTTATGAGAAGAGGGAAAATGGAACATGTTGTGACCTCTGAAAAGATATGTGGAAGGAGGGACAGAGGAAGACAACGAGAGAAGATTCTTGATAGTGTTGTTGGATGGCAGGGAGGTGTGTCAGCATACGAACTAATACACGCTGCAGGAGATTGCAGATTGTGGAGAGGCATGATCGCCCAAGCTAGTCGGCAAGGCACCTGATGATGATGATAAAGACAGCAACCACTACCACTAGGATTGGAATTCATTGGACCTCTAACAGATCAGCTTGATGATCATTCATTGGACCTCTAACAGAACAGCTTGATGATCATTCATTGGACCTCTAACAGATCAGCTTGATGATCATTCATTGGACCTCTAACAGATCAGCTTGATGATCATTCATTGGACCTCTAACAGATCAGCTTGATGATCATTCATTGGACCTCTAACAGAACAGCTTGATGATCATTCATTGGACCTCTAACAGATCAGCTTGATGATCATTCATTGGACCTCTAACAGAACAGCTTGATGATCATTCATTGGACCTCTAACAGAACAGCTTGATGATCATTCATTGGACCTCTAACAGAACAGCTTGATGATCATTCATTGGACCTCTAACAGAACAGCTTGATGATCATTCATTGGACCTCTAACAGATCAGCTTGATGATCATTCATTGGACCTCTAACAGATCAGCTTGATGATCATTCATTGGACCTCTAACAGAACAGCTTGATGATCATTCATTGGACCTCTAACAGAACAGCTTGATGATCATTCATTGGACCTCTAACAGAACAGCTTGATGATCATTCATTGGACCTCTAACAGATCAGCTTGATGATCATTCATTGGACCTCTAACAGAACAGCTTGATGATCATTCATTGGACCTCTAACAGAACAGCTTGATGATCATTCATTGGACCTCTAACAGAACAGCTTGATGATCATTCATTGGACCTCTAACAGAACAGCTTGATGATCATTCATTGGACCTCTAACAGATCAGCTTGATGATCATTCATTGGACCTCTAACAGAACAGCTTGATGATCATTCATTGGACCTCTAACAGAACAGCTTGATGATCTGGACTTCGCTGATGACATTTCCTCCTGTTCCATTCACACAAATAATTGGACCTCTAACAGAACAGCTTGATGATCTGGACTTCGCTGATGACATTTCCTCCTGTTCCATTCACACAAATAATTGGACCTCTAACAGAACAGCTTGATGATCTGGACTTCACTGATGACATTTCCTCCTGTTCCATTCACACAAATAATTGGACCTCTAACAGAACAGCTTGATGATCTGGACTTCACTGATGACATTTCCTCCTGTTCCATTCACAAAAATAATTGCAAGATAAATTGAACATGTGATGCGAAATGACATCTGTGAGGTCTAAAAATCTGTAAGAGAAAGACAAAGATAATGGTAATAAACCAGACAAACAGTAATCTAATCTCTTTTGGGGATAACCTGCTCCAAGATGTGGAGTCATACATTGACTCGAACGGTCACGTAGAGAAACATGGGCAGCTGAGAGAAAGATACAAACATAAAGGAGAAACTATAAAATCTGTGGAAATCAAAGGAAGTTAAAACTGATAGTAAACTTAAAAACATATAATTCTAATGTCAAATTATTACTTCTGTGTGGAGTGGAAACATGGAGAACTATAACAATTACTAATAAACTACAAATATTTATTAACTGGTACCAGCGCAAAATAAAGGGAAAACATGGTTTTGATAGAATTATTAATGTCTAGCTTTGGAAGAGAACAAATTCCAGTGAATTAGGAGGTTAGAAAAAAGACACTGGAGTTGGAAAGAGCACTTGATAACAACATAACTAGAATATCTTTGCACTGCAACCCACAGGGGAAAAGAAATAAAGACATATGAAACAGGCACAAGTAGAATAAAACCTGAGAAGGAAGTTATCAAAATGGGGAGAACACGGGGTCATTTTCATATGACAGCCAAGGATAGAATGACTTGGTAGGAGTTAGAGAATTAGTTGAGAAAAATATATATGTCTGGGAATTAGCAAAAAGAACTAGCTGAGAAAGGTTTATATTTGTGGCAACTAGCTATAAGAACTAGCTGGGAAAGGTTTATATTTGTGGCAACTAGCTATAAGAACTAGCTGAGAAAGGTTTATATTTGTGGCAACTAGCTATAAGAACTAGCTGAGAAAGGTTTATTTTTGTGGCAACTAGCTATAAGAACTAGCTGGGAAAGGTTTATATTTGTGGCAACTAGCTATAAGAACTAGCTGAAAAAGGTTTATATTTGTGGCAACTAGCTATAAGAACTAGCTGAGAAAGGTTTATATTTGTGGCAACTAGCTATAAGGACTAGCTGAGAAAGGTTTATATTTGTGGCAACTAGCTATAAGAACTAGCTGAGAAAGGTTTATATTTGTGGCAACTAGCTATAAGAACTAGCTGGGAAAGGTTTATATTTGTGGCAACTAGCTATAAGGACTAGATAGGAAAGGTTTATATTTGTGGCAACTAGCTATAAGAACTAGCTGAGAAAGGTTTATATTTGTGGCTACTAGCTATAAGAACTGGCTGAGAAAGGTTTATATTTGTGGCAACTAGCTATAAGGACTAGCTGGGAAAGGTTTATATTTGTGGCAACTAGCTATAAGAACTAGCTGGGAAAGGTTTATTTTTGTGGCAACTAGCTATAAGAACTAGCTGGGAAAGGTTTATATTTGTGGCAACTAGCTATAAGAACTAGCTGAAAAAGGTTTATATTTGTGGCAACTAGCTATAAGAACTAGCTGAGAAAGGTTTATATTTGTGGCAACTAGCTATAAGAACTAGCTGAGAAAGGTTTATATTTGTGGCAACTAGCTATAAGAACTAGCTGGGAAAGGTTTATATTTGTGGCAACTAGCTATAAGGACTAGATAGGAAAGGTTTATATTTGTGGCAACTAGCTATAAGAACTAGCTGGGAAAGGTTTATATTTGTGGCAACTAGCTATAAGAACTAGCTGAGAAAGGTTTATATTTGTGGCAACTAGTTATAAGAACTATGCGATTAAGAGAAGAAAGCTTCAATCCAACATCAGTCATAAACGATAAAAATGGAAAACCATTATTCAGCCAAAAAGAAATTTAAAAAAGATGGGAGGAATATTTTAAAGAACTTTTGAACCCGTCGGGAGTACATGAAACAGCAGAATTCCATTCAAGGGCTCCAGATCATCTAGAACCACATATCCTGCGGGATGAAGTAGAGAAAGTTATCAAAACAAGTAAAAGACACAAAGCAGCTGGTATTGACGGAATAACAACAGAAGTCATCCAGGCTGGAGGGGACACTATGATCACCTGGCTGGAGAGAATTTTCAATAGAGCATGGGCAGAGAGAAAGGTACCAGTGGATTGGCAAAGATCAGTTGTAGTACCTATTTGGAAGAAAAAAGGAAACAAGAGAGAATGTGGAACTTATAGAGGAATATCTTTACTAAGTCATGTGGGGAAAATGTATGCAAAGATCTTAGAAGGTAGGATAAGAGCAAAGGTTGAACCTCTACTGAGTAAAGCACAATTCGGTTTCAGGAAAGGGCGAGGTTGCACTGATGCCATATTTGCACTAAGACAAGTCTGTGAAAAGACACTCGAATACGATAAAGAGCTGAACGTGGTCTTTGTAGATCAAGAGAAGGCATTCGACCGTGTAGACAGAGATGTGCTGTGGAGAATTCTTGACGATTACGGAGTGCAGGGTCAATTATTAGACAACATCAGAGCCCTCTATGAAAAAAGTGAAAGTGCAGTAAGAACATCTAGTGGTCTTTCTGAATGGTTCAAAGTCACAACTGGTGTCAGACAAGGATGTGTACTGTCACCATTACTTTTCATAACATACATAGATAAGATCACTGTAGAAGCAAACCCAGACGTGTATGCTATAAACGAATTACTTTTTGCTGATGATCAAAGCATACTGTATCAAAATGAATATGATCTACAGGAACATCTGACTACTCTCAACAACAGCTGTTTACAACATAATATGAGAATCAGTACAGAAAAAACAGAAGTTATGAAGATCAGCAGAACACACAGGCCACTGAATATAAATGTTGGAAGTGCCAAAATCAAGCAAACCAAAGAGTTCAAATACTTGGGCAGTATATTTACAGAGGATGGAAGAATGGACAGAGAGATAGAAACAAGAATACAGAAAGCAAATGCTGTCACATACCAACTATCACCTCTGCTTAAACATCCAGATATAACCATGAAGACCAAAAGACAGTTGATAAACACCATCTTCACTCCAACACTCTGCTACCAGTGCCAAACATGGACAATCAACAAGACCCATGAAAGAAAAATAGAAGTCTGTGAAATGAAATGTCTAAGAAAAGCAGCGAATAAGACCAGACTAGACAGGATAAAGAATATAGACATTAGAAACACTGTCAAAACTACGCCATGTTTAGACTACATAGAACATCAAAGAATGAAATGGTTTGGACATCTAACCAGGATGAAAAATGATCAAATAACATCACAAATTTTCAACCAAAGAAGCTCAGGATATAAGGCAAGAGGAAGACCAAGGAAACGGGGGATTGACGGGGTCTCCGAAACCTGTCGAAAGCATGGCCTCAGAACATCAGATGCTGCCCGCCTTGCTTATGACAGGAACTTGCATCTCCCCACAACGCTTAGCGGCATACGTGGAAGGAAAAAGTTAGTAAAGTAGTAAGCTATAAGAACTAGCTGGGAAAGGTTTATATTTGTGGCAACTAGCTATAAGAACTAGCTGGGAAAGGTTTATATTTGTGGCAACTAGCTATAAGAACTAGCTGGGAAAGGTTTATATTTGTGGCAACTAGCTATAAGAACTAGCTGGGAAAGGTTTATATTTGTGGCAACTAGCTATAAGAACTAGCTGAAAAAGGTTTATCATGATCAGGAACTAGGAAAAAGAACTCTGTGAGAAAAGTGTAAAGTTGTTAGTAACAAGCTGGAAAAAGCAAACCTTGCTGAGCAGCATCAACAAAATCCAAGTCATTGATTGGATGACGTCCATCAACCGTGACATTGTTTCTGTAGCTGTCTCCAAGATCCTGTAAGCGGTCCCTGACAACGTCTCCAATCTGCTCTGCATTTTTGCCACTGTAAGCTGGATTACCTGAGTCGATTGTTAAGTTCCATGGAACCACGAGGACACCGTCACTAAAACAGAACAGAATAGCACAAATAACAAATGTCAGTTACCATGACAAAAGGCACTAATGAGGTATGTTTTTCAAGTGTCCCGTTTGACCGCAGCAACAAACACCAATGGAAAACGTAAATTTGCATATGCAGTATGTTTGTGTGGTTTGGTAGCACACATGTCATTCTCTTCCTCTCACACATCAATCCTTGCCGGATCCACACTTAATTCCTCGTTCACACATTCTTGCACATGTTATTTCATATAATCTCCTGTCTTCTGTCAACATTCTTGCACATGTTATTTCATCTAATCTCGTGTCTTCTGTCAGCAGTCGTTCATATATGGTCTTCAGGATTTCTCTTTTGTCCTGTAGGAGTGTTCCTGTAGTTTTCGCTTTTGTAGCCAGAAAACCCCGCTCGTCCATTCCCTTGCACTCCTGCATGCCCTGGGCAGTACATCCACGTGATTTCCTGTAATGTTAGTGTACTGATGCATGGTAACTACCCATGCCACATTAGTCCATTTTGAACCTTCCGCAATGCCAACAGAGAATCAAGACACAATAATTTCCCTGGTAACTTTGTTTTCTGCTATCCAAGTCAGAGCTGCAGTGATTGCCTCCACTTCCCTCCCCCGTGTGGGTTCCGGGGCCCTATTGTGGGGAAAACAAGAATAGACCCACTGCCTCCCCAAAAGCATGTCGTAAGAGTCGACTAACTGGGGAGCTTCCTTTGAAGTTAGAGTGCATCTGCCTGAGAGGCAAGGAACCAGCAGTCTGCATTCAATTGAATCAGATCTGTAAAACTGATGCACATGCAACACTCAGGTTCTGGAGCATGACTGCAGTTCAGTAGTGGACAAACAACCAGAACTTTACGCCAGAGTGTACAGCTGGTGAACACGAAGAAGAAGAAGAAGCCTCCACTTCTAACCTCATGCTTAACGTTGTAGATTTAAAAAAGCTCCATTTTGTTCTGCAACAATTCCCCCTTCATTCTAGCTGAAAATCTCCAGCCAGGACTCACACAAAATGAACAGAACCATCGGTGTACACTCCTGCATCATCTTACCCAGCCGTTCCATGTATCAGTTGTTGCACCTCTAATTCTGCCATACCGTTACACCATTCTCTAGATTCTCTTCCTAACGCGACAATGACCTGATAGAAACTGCTGTTAGATGTTGATCCATTCCTGGCCCCTGTGTATTTTCACTGACAACATCTTTTTTTTTTGCTGTGTGTGAATGATTTAAAATGAGTGCAAAAATAAATACTCCCGCCAGTTGCGAGGTTCGTACTTCTTTTTAGCCAAAAAAAAAATGACTGTGCTGCAGAAATTCACAGGCAGCTCGTTGAGGTTTATGGGTCAGATGTTATGACTGTTATGGGAAGCTACTGTTATGGGAAGCTACTGTTATGGGAAGCTACTGTTATGAGAAACTACTGTTATGGGAAGCTACTCTTATGGGAAGCTACTGTTATGGGAAGCTACTGTTATGAAAAACTACTGTTATGAGAAGCTACTGTTATGGGAAGCTACTGTTATGGGAAGCTACTGTTATGGGAAGCTACTGTTATGAGAAACTACTGTTATGGGAAGCTACTGTTATGAGAAGCTACTGTTATGAGAAGCTACTGTTATGGGAAGCTACTGTTATGAAAAACTACTGTTATGAGAAGCTACTGTTATGAGAAGCTACTGTTATGAGAAACTACTGTTATGGGAAGCTACTGATATGAGAAACTACTGTTATGGGAAGCTACTGTTATGAGAAGCTACTAGTATGAGAAGCTACTGTTATGAGAAGCTACTGTGATAGGGAAACTACTGCCATGGGAAAGCTACTGTCATATGAAGCTACTGTCATGGGCAGCTACTGTAATAGGAATCTGACAAACACTATCCTTGACCCCCCAGTCTCTTTCAGAGTGTGACACTTGCACCACTGACTGATGGTTACCACAGCAGTCTGTTGCTGTTGTTATTTGTTTTTATGACTGCTGATGGATCTGTTCTATTCAATATGATCTCTACCACAAATTATTACACTACTAATATTAATCTCTACTATAAATTATTCTACGACCAATAATTTTTCTACTACAAAGAGTTCTACTTCCAATATTATTTCTACTACCAAAAAAAGCCACTAGCAATATTATCTCTACTACAAAAAGAAAACTACTACCAATATTATCTCTACTACCAATATTATCTCTACTACCAATATTATCCCTACTACCAATATTATCTCTACTACTAATATTATCTCTACTACCAATATTATCTCTACTACCAATATTATCTCTACTACCAATATTATCTCTACTACCAATATTATCCCTACTACCAATATTATCTCTACTACAAAAAGAAAACTACTACCAATATTATCTCTACTACCAATATTATCTCTACTACCAATATTATCTCTACTACACGTGAAGCCAATACCAATATTATCTCTACTACTAATATTATCTCTACTACCAATATTATCTCTACTACCAATATTATCTCTACTACTAATATTATCTCTACTACCAATATTATCTCTACTACCAATATTATCTCTACTACACATGAAGCCAATACCAATATTATCTCTACTACCAATATTATCTCTACTACTAATATTATCTCTACTGCAAAGGGTTCTAGCAGGTACATGTGATGGTGTTATTTATAAATAAAAGAATACATACACAACATAAATGTCATCTGGGTTGATGGTGATATCTTTCATTCCAGGAAAAGTGGCAAAATTAGTTTTCAGCTGGGGACAGAAATAAACATATTTATTGATATTATGGTTGATGGCTGAGTGTGTTTATTTGTGTGTGTGTGTGTGTGGGTTTGTGTGTGTGTGTGTGTGTGTCTAAATACATGTAATCAATCTGCTTTAAGTTTTAGTGGCTGTCTAGATGTGTACATGGCAAATGAGGCAGACAGTTTGACACTGTGTCCATGTTTGACACTGTGTCCATGTTTGACACTGTGTCCATGTTTGACACAGTGTCCATGTTTTACGCTGTGTCCATGTTTTACGCTGTGTCCATGTCAATCTTTCATGAGTCACTGAATAACAACAGTACAGTGATGCTCATCGTTTATTAGACATAGTGCTACCAATGACAATGATGGACACACTTCATGATGTTTTTATATGCCTTACATAAATATTCTCTTGACAGGTATACATATACAGACTTTCATACAGACACAGACAAACATAAATACACACACATTGAATTACTATTTTGAATCACACAGACTTATTATCTCTTGTCTGTCTAGGAATTGTTGTGTTGTCAGTCGACTATCTCTTGTCTGTCTAGGAATTGTTGTGTTGTCAGTCTGGCTATCTCTTGTCTGTCTAGGAATTGTTGTGTTGTCAGTCTGGCTATCTCTTGTCTGTCCATGAACTGTTGTGTTGTCAGTCTGGCTATCTCTTGTCTGTCTAGGAGCTGTTTTGTTGTCTGTCTGGCTATATCTTGTCTGTCTAGGAATTGTTGTGTTGTCAGTCTGGCTATCTCTTGTCTGTCTATGAACTGTTGTGTTGTCAGTCTGGCTTTCTCTTGTCTGTCTAGGAATTGTTTTGTTATCTGTCTGGCTATATCTTTTCTGTCTAGGAATTGTTTGTTGTCAGTCTGGCTTTCTCTTGTCTGTCTTTGAACTGTTGTGTTGTCTCTCTGGCTGTATTTTGTCTGTCTAGAAACTGTTGTGTTGTCTGTCTGGCTATCTCTTGTCTGTCTGGGAACTAAAAAAAATGTGCTGACTCACCTCCTCAGTTAAATTTTTGGCAATCTCTTGTCTTTTCTCTGGCGTTAGATCATCACTTTTCAATGATGAATTAAATTCAGACTTCTGAGAGACTGTATAAACCGGTGACCTGATGTTGTCCCTGTCAGAAATGGTTGCTGTGAATCAGAGAAAACAAGAAGTCAGTGATCAGAGTGTCAGAGAAAACAAGATGTCAGTGATCAGTGTGTCAGAGAAAACAAGATGTCAGTGATCAGAATGTCAGAGAAAACAAGATGTCAGTGATCAGAGTGTTAGAGAAAACAAGAAGTCAGTGATCAGTGTGTCAGAGAAAACAAGATGTCAGTGATCAGAATGTCAGAGAAAACAAGATGTCAGTGATCAGAGTGTCAGAGACAACAAGATGTCAGTGATCAGTGTGTCAGAGAAAACAAGATGTCAGTGATCAGTGTGTCAGAGAAAACAAGATGTCAGTGATCAGTGTGTCAGAGAAAACAAGATGTCAGTGATCAGAGTGTCAGAGAAAACAAGATGTCAGTGATCAGTGTGTCAGAGAAAACAAGATGTCAGTGATCAGTGTGTCAGAGAAAACAAGATGTCAGTGATCAGTGTGTCAGAGAAAACAAGATGTCAGTGATCAGTGTGTCAGAGAAAACAAGAAGTCAGTGATCAGAGTGTCAGGAAAAAAACAGATGGCAGTGATCAAAGTGTCAGAGAAATCAGAAAGACAGACAGACTGACAGACAGACAGAGGACAGACAGACAGATTAGACAGACAGACAGACAGACAGACAGACAGACAGACAGACAGACAGACAGACCAGACAGACCAGACAGACAGACAGACAGACAGACCGAGGTATATAGAAAAAGGCCATCAATGTGTTAAACTCAGTGTGTGTATGTGTGTACATCTCTCTCTCTCTCTCTCTCTCTCTCTCTCTCTCTCTCTCTCTCTTTTTGGAGTACAACAAAGACGTGAGTACAAGAAAGACATGATACAACTATGACAAAAGTACAAAAATGCCTGAAGTACAACAAAGAAAAGATGACATCGACTACAGAGGTACCACACTGACTAATGTACAACAAAGACAGGTGTACAAAAGAGACATGAGTACAACAAAGAGATGATTACCACAATAACTGACCTACAACAATGACTGACATAACAAAAACTGATGTACAATAATGACTGACATAACCATGACTGATGTACAACAATGACTGACATAACAATAACTGACGTTCAACAATGACTGACATAACAATAACTGATGTACAACAATGACTGTCATAACAATAAACTGAAGTACAACAACGACTGACATAACAATAACCAACTTACAACAATGACTGACATAACAATAACTGACGTACAACAATGACTGACATAACAATAACTGCTGTACAACAATGACTGATGTATAACAATGACTGACGTACAACAATAACTGACGTACAACAATGACTGACATAACAATAACTGACATAACAATAACTGAAGTACAACAATGACTGACATAACAATAACTGACGTATAACAATGACTGACGTACAACAATAACTGATGCACAACAATGATTGACAAAACAATAACTGACGTACAACAATAACTGGCATACAACAATTACTGACATAACAATAACTGACGCACAACAATGACTGAAGTCAGAAGGGGCTACTCACTGTTTTCTTTATCACAAAATGGACCAATCCAAGATCCCACGCAACTGTCAAAGGAGAAAAATCAACTCATGATACTTCACAGATCCGTATGCATTTAAAATAATTGAGTTGGGGCAGGTTCTTGAGTGCCCCGCCCCTCCCCCTCCCCAATAATATTGTGTAGATGGCTAGAATTAAATTATCTGTTACAGCTGATGCATATTTATTTGCCATTCAGCAGACTATTATTTTGAAATTATTGTAATTATTATTATTGGGCCATATTGTTAACAATATACTTTAAATACTATGAAATGTTGAAGCAATGACTTGTACAGAAAATTGTAAATCTGGTTGAGGGGATCTTTAAGTCTTTTACACATTTCTTGTGGAATAGTAGGTAGTCAAGGGACTGGAGCCTCGGCCACTTATGACTGGTAGCATCTAGTCAAGGGACTGGAGCCTCGGCCACTTATGACTGGTAGCATCTAGTCAAGGGACTGGAGCCTCGGCCACTTATGACTGGTAGCATCTAGTCAAGGGACTGGAGCCTCGGCCACTTATGACTGGTAGCATCTAGTCAAGGGACTGGAGCCTCGGCCACTTATGACTGGTAGCATCAAGTCAAGAGACTGGAGCCTCGGCCACTTATGACTGGTAGCATCTAGTCAAGAGACTGGAGCCTCGGCCACTCATGACTGGTAGCATCTAGTCAAGAGACTGGAGCCTCGGCCACTTATGACTGGTAGCATCTAGTCAAGGGACTGGAGCCTCGGCCACTTATGACTGGTAGCATCTAGTCAAGAGACTGGAGCCTCGGCCACTTATGACTGGTAGCATCAAGTCAAGGGACTGGAGCCTCGGCCACTCATGACTGGTAGCATCCAGCTGGCTAGACAAGTTCTCATAAGATTTTCTTTGGTGGACAAAAGTGTATTTTTATGTGTTTGAAAGTATGTTTGTTGTCTCAGCTCTTAGTTAAATGTTGCACATTGTATGTTGATTCCACTACCAAATCTTCCTTTTAAAAGACTGGCGAGTATTTATGTCTTTGCCTTATTTTCAATGGCACTGGTTTTTACTGCATTCCTAACTGCTTGCCTATTTTTTACTACTGTCGAACATGATCAACGCTCTCTAAGGAACCATAGACACCTTTTTTTTTTAGACTAAAAAAAAAATGCAGAAAGGTGCTTAGGTTTCTCTAAATTCTGTCAGTTTTGTTATATTGATTCTCCCATTTACTCGAACAGGGTTTACTTACACAGATGCAAAATTTTCACTAGCATTCATTGTTAAACTATTGTTCATATGTCATTTAAATGACATTGTGACCACATCCTTTGACATCTGGTTCAGAAATTATCTCGAGCTAACCTCTTGTCCTTACTTATCGGTCTCTTCAGCATATTGTTGCATGTGCTTCCTGTCTAGCTTATTATAACCTTGAGCTAGCACTCAAAACAGGGTCATTGCAGATTTGCTATCATAATATTCACATAGGCAACAGATCGACTTTAGTATACATCTTCTCTGCATACTTACTATATAATTAAATAAAAACCTGTTGTACAAGGTGTTCTTTGTCAACTTGTGCTTCCTGTCTTCTCCTTTTGGGTTCCGGGGCCCCATTTGGGGGCAGGGGGAGTATATACCTACTGCCCTCTAAAAAGCATGCCATAAAAGGCAACTAATTAGGAGAAATAGCCGCTGCTTCTAGAGCTTTAGCATGGGTATGTGAGCAAACCGTCACACAAGCATGGACAGAGCAGACATAGTCAACGCTGTACGAACTGGGCTAGTGGAGAATGAGGAATCCCTGACACTAACACGATTGCGTGACATGGGAGTAAAGCATGGTGAAGCACGTCTTTGCCATCTTCGAGGCCAAGATAGAAGATAATATAACCAGCTTCTCATGGGAAAAATTAGTAGAAGTACTTTGGAGTGGCTGCTGCAACGGAGGACTGAGCACGCATTGGATGCCCAATGTGCAGTGACGTCGATTGTGATAACATAAAATAACATAACATCTTATAGGGAGTCGGCAGTCCAAAATCCAAGTTCAAGGTGTCTCCTTCGTGCCAAAGAACTGCATGGCTGTTGGGCGAACAGTCGTGATAGGGACGAGGCTTGCTGGTGGATGTAATGTCCTAAGCCCCTGCAGGGTACTGCTGGGGTGACCGTTTGTTAACCCTCAAATAATCAAAGTCAAAATTTACGCTAGGAACGGCCACTTTTTGTAGATGTGGCAATTTTTTTTTGCTTTTGTCAGACGGTGGCCGTTGCATCTTTGCTCCATTTGTAAACTGGAAGGATATAGTTTCTTGCCCAGCTTCTGAGTTAAGTGCATGGCGTAACACTGTGAGCTGCGGATTTCATTTGAACTGTGATAAACATTTTATATATTTTTCGTTGGCACAGAAGCGGAGCAACTATAGGGCAACCAATCTGAAATGAAGCTGAAACTAAGATTACCAGATTACCAGATTACTACTACTTCATAATACATATCTGCAATCCCTTGTATCCAGAGACAGACATAAAACAAGATACATGTTTGTAGTGTAGTATCCAAGGACAGATATCAAAAATAATAAATCTTTGTAGTGCTGTATCCAGTTATACAAATCAAACATAATAAATATCTTTAGTGTTGTATCCGAGGACAGATATCAAACATGATAAACCTCTGTAGTGTTGTATCCGAGGACAGATATCAAACATGATAAATATCTTTAGTGTTGTATCCGAGGACAGATATCAAACATGATAAACCTCTGTAGTGTAGTATCCGAGGACAGATATCAAACATGATAAATATCTGTAGTGTTGTATCCGAGGAGAGATATCAAACATGATAAACCTCTGTAGTGTTGTATCCGAGGACAGATATCAAACATGATAAATATCTTTAGTGTTGTATCCGAGGACAGATATCAAACATGATAAATATCTTTAGTGTTGTATCCGAGGACAGATATCAAACATGATAAACCTCTGTAGTGTTGTATCCGAGGAGAGATATCAAACATGATAAACCTCTGTAGTGTTGTATCCGAGGAGAGATATCAAACATGATAAACCTCTGTAGTGTTGTATCCGAGGACAGATATCAAACATGATAAACCTCTGTAGTGTTGTATCCGAGGAGAGATATCAAACATGATAAACCTCTGTAGTGTTGTATCCGAGGACAGATATCAAACATGATAAACCTCTGTAGTGTTGTATCCAAGGACAGATATCAAACATGATAAACCTCTGTAGTGTTGTATCCGAGGACAGATATCAAACATGATAAACCTCTGTAGTGTTGTATCCGAGGAGAGATATCAAACATGATAAACCTATGTAGTGATGTATCCGAGGACAGATATCAAACATGATAAATATCTTTAGTGTTGTATCCAAGGACAGATATCAAACATGATAAACCTCTGTAGTGTTGTATCCGAGGACAGATATCAAACATGATAAACCTCTGTAGTGTTGTATCCGAGGAGAGATATCAAACATGATAAACCTATGTAGTGATGTATCCGAGGACAGATATCAAACATGATAAATATCTTTAGTGTTGTATCCGAGGACAGATATCAAACATGATAAACCTATGTAGTGATGTATCCGAGGACAGATATCAAACATGATAAACCTCTGTAGTGTTTTGTGCAAATAAAACAGAATTCTGACCTGCAGTAGGCATTGCCAGCTACGTCCTTGATACACTGGCCATGATTGTTACAGTCGCTGTAGTTGAGACAGTTGTCTGTGCAGCGGAGACGGATGCCTGTGCTGTTAGCTGTGTTAGGGGGCTGCTGCTGGCAGCGTCCATAGCCACACGGACAGGGACTTGGTTTGATGTTGCAAGGATCACTGGCATCCTTTTGAACTGGACGATTCAGGAAAATAAAGTTTTAAAAAATCAGAAATCAATTTTCTCAAACAGTTAATAGAAAATAATATCAAACATAATTATTTCCGTATGGGTTCCAGGGCACCCATTTTGCAGAAAAAGAATAGACGTACCACCAAAGACGCATCAGACAGTAACTGGTGCCATCGGAACTGGAACTCTTCGTTTGCTGCTGAAGATAAGGACATGTCTTGTGCAATAAATTGCTCTCATTACACAGAACCTGTTCTGCTGTGTGGCAGCGAATCTTGAAATGTCAGTGAACAAATTAAGAAGAATGATGACATCCATGAATGAAGAATCTCAATCAATAAGAGAATCAACAATGACAAAACAGAAGTAATGTCTACAGGAAGACAGAAGCAGAATCTAAATATAACAGCAGGGTGCAAAGGTATTAAACATGTATTTGATTTTCAATATCTGGGAACAACATTCATCGAAGAGCAAACTGGATGAGGAAATTAACATTCGATGCAGTAAATCAAACCAAGTATTGGGACAGCTAGCTCCCTGTTTACAGACCCTGACACTAGCAGTCAGCACAAAGAAACATTCATTGCCACTCTAATTCACCAGTGCCAGATGTGTTCACTCGTTATAAACTAGACAAGAACATTAGTAACCATGGAAATGTGATGTCTGAGAAGAGCTACAAGACTGACCAGAAGAGATACAATCAGGAATCAAGTCATTTAAAATACTCGACACAGAACCACATTCTCAGCTACATACAAAGACAGCCAATCAAATGACATCAACAGGGAATGCTTGTAGTTAGGTTGGTGACATGAAGTGTTGAATCATTCCGTCTATGTATAGCTAGTCACACTATCTTTTCCTCCGTAATATCCAGTTTCGTCCTTTTCAGGACGAAATTTTTTGTTATTTGAAGCCCCACCCTGGCTTTTGCCAGGGGCCGCAATATAGACAGGCCATAAATATGGCCAATTGTCTGAAGGCGGTTTCTGGGACCTCTCCACGGCGATCCTCATCCACATGGTGGCACTTTGTGTCATCGGGTGTTTATGGCTTGTTTGATGTCCTAGTCGGGTAAAAAGCCAGTCAGTCAGTCAGTGCTGAATACGACACAACATGTGACTAGAAAGTTCAGCCAATGGACTGGAAAAGACAAGTATAAAAATAGAACTGGTGTTTTCAATATTGAAGAACAGGGTTTTCATATTACATATTAATTGTTTTACATTGACTTGGTTGTTTACAAGCTCTGTTGTCTTGCCCGTTGAGTTTTGTAGTCACAGTTTGTGTTATGTTTATGTTTAATATTAAATTGATAAAGACTTCGGTTGAAATGTTTAGTTGTATTTGGATGCATTTTTTCCATTCCCTTCATCGAGTTTTGAATAAAACTGTATGTTGTATTTAGCAATTGAAATAGTATGTATATTTATAGAGAATTCATTGCAGCACCACACACACACGCACACGCACACACACACACAGTGTCTGCGTGTGTGTCTGTATGTGTTTCCGTGTGTGTCTGCATGTGTTTATATGTGTCTGTTCGTGCGTGTATGTGTTTGCGTCTGTGTCTGTAAATGTCTATGTGTGTCTGTGAATATCTGTCTGTCTGTCTGTCTGTCTGTCTGTCTGTCTGTCTGTCTGTCTGTCTGTCTGTCTGTCTGTCTGTCTGTCTGTCTGTCTGTCTGTCTGTCTGTCTGTCTGTCTGTCTGCATGCATGTATGTGTGTTACATGTGTGTGTGTATATGTAATATGAATGTATATGTGTATGTATACGCGCGTGTGTGTATGTATGTGGGTGTGTATGCATGTGTGTATAAGTGTGGGAATGGGCGTGTTCATGTGAGTGCGTGTGGGCACGCGCGAGTGTGTGCATGCATTTTACCAGCGATGCTTTTGTGTTCTTTCTTGACATTCATAATGTGCTGATGGCATGTGCTCAAAGGTTGATGACATGTTGGGAGTGATTGCATGTGCTCAAAGGTTGATGACATGTTGAGAGTGATTGCATGTGCTCAAAAGTTGATGACATGTTGAGAGTGATGACATGTGCTCAAAGGTTGATGACATGTTAAGAGTGATGACATGTGCTCCAAGGTTGATGACATGTTGAGAGTGATAATATGTGCTCAAAGGTTGATGACATGTTGAGAGTGATGATATGTGCTCAAAGGTTGATGACAGGTTGAGAGTGATAACATGTGCTCAATGGTTGATGACAGGTTGAGAGTGATGAAATATGGTTCAAGGTTGATGACATGTTAGGAGTGATGACATGTGCTCAAAGGTTGATGACAGGTTGAGAGTGATGACATGTGGTTCAAGGTTGATGACATTTTGAGAGTGATGACATGTGCTCAAAGGTTGATGATAGGTTGAGAGTGATGACATGTGCTCAAAGGCAGATGACATGTTGAGAGTGATAACATGTGCTTAAAGATTGATGACATGCTGAGAGGGATAACATGTGCTCAAAGGTTGATGACATGTTGAGAGTGATGACATGTGGTTCAAGGTTGATGACATGTTGAGAGTGTTGACATGTAGTTCAAGGTTGATGAATGTTGAGAGTTATGACATGTGCTAAAAGGTTGATGACATGTTGAGAGTGATGACATGTGCTCAAAGGTTGATGACATGTTGAGAGTGATAACATGTGCTCAAAGATTGATGACATGTTGAGAGTGATGACATGTGGTTCAAGGTTGATGACAGGTTGAGAGTGATGACATGTGCTCAAAGGTTGATGACAGGTTGAGAGTGATGACATGTAGTTCAAGGTTGATGACAGGTTGAGAGTGATGACATGTAGTTCAAGGTTGATGACAGGTTGAGAGTGATGACATGTAGTTCAAGGTTAATTCAGAACATACCATCTTCAACAGCCTTGGTGGTATTGAAATCATCAGTCGGGTGTTGACCTTCTATGTCTATGTTCCTGTATTGCAAACTGGCATTTGTTAGTGCATCTTGCACCTGGCGAGCCACATCGTCTGCAGAGCTACCTGTGTAGCTTCGGTTACCTCCATCAATGGTCACCTCCCAGTCATCGAAATGAAGCAGGCCTTTTCTGCGGAAGGAGTTATATCAGCTGATACAAGTATGCCGGGTTGGCACTAAATGTGGGGTCACATAAATGGAGACTAGATTATGTCACCTTCATTAGCAAGACGAGAGATTGCTTTTTTGTTTTGTTTTGGTGGTTATTGTTGATGTCATCATTTTGTTGTCTGTGATATTATTATTATTATTATTATTATTAATTATTATTATTATTATTAACATTCAGTTAATTGCCAATCAAGCCAGTCACGTTGCTCTGCTGGATTTGATCCATAGTTCCATAGCTTGCAAATAAATCCACAGTAGACTTGTGAGATTTCTAGGCTTCTGTGCATTTTGTTCATTGTTATTGTTGATATTGTTTTGTAGGGTAAAGAGAGAGGGATAGTACCTCACGGTGAGTGGCAGCCATATCCGTATGGATAGTCCAGGATCCTTTTTGGTTCTCATCTCTTTACCTAGCTCATGTATGGCTCCACGAATACCGCTTGTGTACGGCGGTGGCCACACCACGGGCAACAGTCTTGGCTGACTGGCTAAACTACATGAGTGAAGTGGGAGTAATATCCTACTAAGGGTGATGTCCATCCCTAGTACACAAAGACTGGGACGGTAAGCAAGGCGGAAGAATCTAATTATATAGATCAAAGGCTTGCAAAGCGAAACAGCAAAGTGTGTGGCACACATGAGGCGTGTTGGGACACGAAGGAACACATGGCTGGCCATCGTGGAAAAGATTGGGACCTTACCACGTAGCACCCAAAGACAGTAATGGAAGCACAACAAGTTCGAAAAAGCGATGCAGGCACAACTTGGCCCCCTGGAGTAATGTCTGTTGTAAATACAAACAGGGAAGAGACAAATACTCTGTTGACTAGGGTAGAGCATAATGACGAGTACGCCTTAAATTCTTCTGAAAGGGCACATTCTGACAACGCATATCTGAAAAGTAGAAAGAGATGTCTTCGCATTGGCACATGGAATGTTAGAAGGTTATATCAAGTTGGAAAATTTGACTGTTTAATTTCTGAGGCAAAGAATATGAATTTAGATATTTTGGGAGTATCAGAAACAAGATGGACAGAAGCTAGCTGCCTAAAGAGAGATGATTACATATTTATTTATTCTGGAGGAGAACATCATGAACTTGGAGTAGGATTCTTGATAAAAAGAAATTTAGAGAAGTTTATTAGCGGGTTCTGGGCTCACAATGACAGAATTATATTGATCAAGATAAAGGCTAGACCTTTTGATATTGCAATTATACAGACATATGCACCAACAACTGACTACAGAGATGAACAGCTTGAAGAATATTATGAAGAACTACAACAAACACTGAAAGTTGTAAAATCATCAGAGGTCTTAATAGTTATGGGAGACCTGAATGCAAAAGTGGGGAAAAAGAATCACAAAAATATTATAGGGCAATTTGGCATGGGATCAAGGAATGACAGAGGAGACAGATTGATACAGTTTTGCGAAGAGAACCAACTCATTATCTGTAATACATTTTTTCAACATTCACATAGAAAACTGTTTACGTGGAAGAGTCCAGGAGATAAAAAGAGAAACCAAATTGACTATGTAATGATTAGAGACAGATTCAAAAACAACATAAAGAACGCCAAAGCATACCCAGGTGCGGATATAAATTCAGATCACAACCCTGTGGTAATAAAAATACAAATTAAACTTAAAAACGCAGGAATAAAAACGCAAAGGTCACCCCCACATAGACATTTCAGCTTTGAAACAGCCAGAAATAAGCCAGCAGTACCTAGTGGAGGTTAAAAATAAATATGACAGATTAATAGTTGAAAGCATGGAACAATATCGACGGGAGAATCCAGAGGACAACATTAATGCAAAATGGGAATGTTTGAAAACTAGTATAGAAACAGCTAATGCCATCTTACCAGTGAAAGAAAACAAGAAAAATCAAGTATGGATGACTGAGGAAATTGTTAACAAAATGACACAAAGGAAGAAAGCAAAAAACACTCCAGAATATTCATTAATAGACAAAGAAATACGAAATATGTGTAGAACTGCTAAGGAAACATGGATTCAGTTAAAATGCAAAGAAATAGAGGATCTTGAAATAAAACACATAACCAAGGAAATACATGCAAATATAAGAAAACTTACAAACAAGGAAAAACATTTAACAGGAAATGGTTGTATTAGGGGGAAGGATGGAAAAATTATTGTTGATAAGAAAGATATAATAAAAAGATGGACTGAATACACAGAAGACCTGTTTTGGGACAACAGAGGTGACAACCCGCCAATCCATAATATTCAAGAGGGACCAAACATATTAAAGTCTGAAGTAGAGAAAGCCATTAAACAGATGAAGCAGGAAAAAGCTGCAGGTCCAGACAACATAACTGCAGAAATGTTAAAATCATTATCTACTTTTGGAATTGATACTATCACAGAAATATGCAATGACATTTAAAACTATGGGTACACTCCCAGGGACATGAAAACATCTGTTTTTATCACACTACCCAAGAAATCAAATGCTGTTGATTGTGAAGATTACAGAACTATTAGCCTAATGAGTTACGTAACTAAGTTACTCTTGAAGATAATACAAGCAAGAATTCAAGATAAAATAGAGAAAGAAGTTTCTGAAGAGCAATTTAGATTCCGTAAAAACAGCCTTTTCAACTTATGTACAGAAACCATTTTTAAAGAAATTGTAGAATTACCAGGACTGCACATCAATGGTAGAATAATAAACAATCTGAGATATGCTGACGACACAGTGTTGCTAGCAGAGAGTGAGCAGGAGTTGCAAGACCTAGTGGAGCAAGTAAACAGAAGGAGTGCAGAATTTGGATTAGATATAAATTTGAAAAAGACAAAAACCATGATATTTAGCAAAGAAAATAATCAGCTAACAATGAATATCACAGTGCACGGGGTGAAATTGGAACAAGTAAAAAATTTCTTATATCTTGGACAAGTAATAACATGTGACGACAGAAGTGAAACAGAAGTCAAGAAAAGAATAGAGATGGCCAAAAACATTTTCAACAACATGCAAAAGTTACTGACATCAAGAGAAATAAGCAATACATTAAAAATGAGAATTGTCAAATGTTATGTATTCTCAACCTTACTGTATGGCACAGAGACATAGACAATGAACAAACAACTGGAAAATCGTATCCATTCTTTGGAGATGTGAATATACAGAAGATTAGGTCGTATTTCATGGAAACAAAAGCTATCAAATACAGAGGTACTGAGGAAATTAGGAATGAAAAGAGAGTTGCTAGGTGAAATAAAAAAGAGACAAGTGAAATGTTTTGGCCACATTAAAAGACATAACAGTATTGTAAAGATCATCCTACAGGGAAAGGTTCAAGGTAGGCGAGCAAAAGGCAGACAACGTTACAAGTGGGAGGATAACATCAAGAGATGGACGAACAGCAGTATGAGTGAGTGTACATCAAGGGCAAGAGACAGGGCTTGTTGGAGATCCATTGCAGCCAACCTTCATTGTGGAGACGGCACCTGATTGATTGATTGATTGTTTATATTATTGTTGCTGTTGATATTGGTAATGTTGATACTGTTAAACATCCAAGCTGAGCTCTTTAAGGCGGGAGGGGGGCGGGAGGGGTTTTTGAGGGGACGTCACTGACATTCTCACTGAAATTTGTAACAAAATTTGGGAGACTGGTGAACGGCCATCTCTTTGGAACAAATCACTCATTATTACCCCCCCCCCCACCCCCCCACCTCCCAAAAAAAGAGGAATTTACAACAATGTCAAAATGATAGAACTATAAGTCTCATCAGTCATCCCAGTAAAGCCATGCTCAAGATGCTGCCAGACAGATTACAATCACACGCAGAAAAGATCTTAGCAGAGGAACAGGCGGGTTTCCCTGCTGGAAGAAGCACTGTCCAACAGATATTTAATCTACGCATATTATCCGAGCAATACCACCATCACCAAAACATCTACACCCTGTGTTCACTGATTTCAAAGAGGCTACCATGTGCTCACTGATTTCAAAGAGGCTACCATGTGTTCACTGATTTCAAAGAGGCTACCATGTGTTCACTGTTTTCAAAGAGGCTACCATGTGTTCACTGATTTCAAAGAGGCTACCATGTGTTCACTGATTTCAAAGAGGCTACCATGTGTTCACTGATTTCAAAGAGGCTATCACGTGTTCACTCATTTCAAAAAGGCTACCCTGTGTTCACTCATTCCAAAAAGGCTACCATGTGTTCACTGATTTCAAAGAGGCTACCCTGTGTTCACTCATTTCAAAAAGGCTACCATGTGTTCACTCATTTCAAAAAGGCTACCCTGTGTTCACTCATTTCAAAAAGGCTACCCTGTGTTCACTCATTTCAAAAAGGCTACCATGTGTTCACTCATTTAAAAAAGGCTACCATGTGTTCACTCATTTCAAAAAGGCTACCATGTGTTCACTAATTTCAAAAAGGCTACCCTGTGTTCACTCATTTCAAAAAGGCTACCCTGTGTTCACTCATTTCAAAAAGGCTACCCTGTGTTCACTCATTTCAAAAAGGCTACCATGTGTTCACTCATTTCAAAAAGGCTACCACGTGTTCACTCATTTCAAAGAGGCTACCATGTGTTCACTCATTTCAAAAAGGCTACCCTGTGTTCACTAATTTCAAAAAGGCTACCATGTGTTCACTGATTTCAAAGAGGCTACCATGTGTTCACTCATTTCAAAAAGGCTACCATGTGTTCACTCATTTCAAAAAGGCTACCCTGTGTTCACTCATTTCAAAAAGGCTACCCTGTGTTCACTCATTTCAAAAAGGCTACCATGTGTTCACTCATTTCAAAAAGGCTACCACGTGTTCACTCATTTCAAAAAGGCTACCATGTGTTCACTCATTTCAAAAAGGCTACCCTGTGTTCACTCATTTCAAAAAGGCTACCATGTGTTCACTCATTTCAAAAAGGCTACCATGTGTCACTGATTTCAATGAGGCTACCATGTGTTCACTGATTTCAAAGAGGCTACCATGTGTTCACTCATTTAAAAAAAGGCTACCCTGTGTTCACTCATTTCAAAAAGGCTACCCTGTGTTCACTCATTTCAAAAAGGCTACCATGTGTTCACTGATTTCAAAGAGGCTACCATGTGTTCACTCATTTCAAAAAGGCTACCATGTGTTCACTCATTTCAAAAAGGCTACCCTGTGTTCACTCATTTCAAAAAGGCTACCCTGTGTTCACTCATTTCAAAAAGGCTACCCTGTGTTCACTCATTTCAAAAAGGCTACCCTGTGTTCACTCATTTCAAAAAGGCATTTGACAGAGTATGGCATGCAGCACTATAGGACACTAAGAAAAAGTTCAGTATGAGTAAACCCTTGAATACGTAATAGAGAACAGCTTTATGTCAATGCCAGTAGTAATGTAGTCACGCTGGACGGGAAAAAAGCAGCTGGATCCGAACAACAGTAGGAGTCCACCAAGGCTGCATCCTCTCCCCAACACTGTTTAAGATCTTCTTAGAAAACAAACAACTATGACATTTGCCCTAGAACAACATCATGAAACAGTTAGTGTAGGAGGACGAACTATAACACACTTGAGGTTTGCAGATGACATTGATGGGTTGGCCGGGGAAGAAAACAAACTAGTCGAGCTTGTAAATCTACTCGATGAAACATCAACCAAGTATGGCAGGGAAATAAACACACACACACACAAAATGAATAATAAGAGTGGATGTACATGTGTGTGTGTAAAAATGACAGTGGATATGTATGTGTGTGTGTTCAGGTTTGAGTTAACCTGTGTGTGTCTTAAAATCACAGCGTGTGTGTGCAGGCATGCGGGCGTGTGTGTGCATGCGTATGCGTACGTGCACGTGTGTGTGTCAGTATCAGTGCGTAAGTTGACATGTGGAGAAGTCAGAAAGAGCATTGTCTACAATCAGTGCTGCTGATACTTACGAATCAATGTAGATGTTTTTAGGATTAACTCGGACACATTTAAATCCAGGGATGCTGGCGAAGATGGGCGTCAGCTGAAGAGATAAACCTCTTTATCAATGACATTACATTAGCAGGTAAGAAGAGATAAACCTCTTCATCAATGACATTACATTACCAGGTATGATGAGATAAACCTCTTCATCAATGTTATTTTATTACCAGGTAAGAGGAGATAAACCTCATCACCAATGATATTACAGTAACAGGTCAAATGAGATAAACCTCATTAAAATGTAATTACATTGACAGGTAAGACATGTGAGATGAGATTAACCTCATCATCAATGGTACTACATTAACAGTATAGAAAAGATAAACTTCATCAATGACGTTACATTAACAGTTATAAGGCCCGGCTCTCTAGCGTAGTTGGCTAAACCGGATTGCGCGGAGAGCGGGTGACGAACTCCTTGTGGTCCGGGTTCAATCCCGGGGGTAGGCAGGAAAGCCACATTTTCTCCCAGATTTACGGTATTTACAATGGAATCAGGGCCGAAAGGTTGCGACATCCACAATACCGAGCCTAAGGGTTAACAACTCATGGCTTCTGGATACTCAAACAAACAAACAAACAACAGATAAGAAGAGATCAACCTAATCACCAGTGGCATAATCACCACAGATAAACAGATCATGCACATCTCTCAGGTGTGGAGGTACTACCCATCTCTCAGGTGTGGAGGTACTACCCATCTCTCAGGTGTGGAGGTACTACCCATCTCTCAGGTGTGGAGGTACTACCCATCTCTCAGGTGTGGAGGTACTACCCATCTCTCAGGTGTGGAGGTACTACCCATCTCTCAGGTGTGGAGGTACTACCCATCTCTCAGGTGTGGAGGTACTACCCATCTCTCAGGTGTGGAGGTACTACCCATCTCTCAGGTGTGGAGGTACTACCCATCTCTCAGGTGTGGAGGTACTACCCATCTCTCAGGTGTGGAGGTACTACCCATCTCTCAGGTGTGGAGGTACTACCCATCTCTCAGGTGTGGAGGTACTACCCATCACCCACTGCTAGTGTCATTTCTCTAGAACACACATCTGTGAAATGAAGTCACTAGGAACACAACGTGTGTGAAGTGAGGTCACTAAATACACACAGCATCTATGAAATGGGGTCACCAGATACACACAACATGACTGACTGACTGACTGCCTGCCTGGCTGGTTGAGTGACCCACTAACTGTCCGACTGACCGCCTGGCTGGTTGACTGACCCACTGACTGTCCGACTGACCGCCTGGCTGGTTGAGTGACCCACTAACTGTCCGACTGACCGCCTGGCTGGTTAACTGACCCACTAACTGCCCGACTGACCGCCTGGCTGGTTGACTGACCCACTAACTGTTCGACTGACCGCCTAGCTGGTTGACTGACCCACTGACTGTCTGACTGACCGCCTGGCTAGTTGACTGACCCACTAACTGTTCGACTGACCGCCTAGCTGGTTGACTGACCCACTGACTGTCCGACTGACCGCCTGGCTGGTTGACTGACCCACTAACTGTTCGACTGACCGCCTAGCTGGTTGACTGACCCACTGACTGTCCGACTGACCGCCTGGCTGGTTGACTGACCCACTGACTGTCTGACTGACCGCCTGGCTGGTTGACTGACCCACTGACTGTCCGACTGATCGCCTGGCTGGTTGACTGACCCACTGACTGTCTGACTGACCGCCTGGCTGGTTGACTGACCCACTACCTGTCCGACTGACCGCCTGGCTGGTTGACTGACCCACTACCTGTCTGACTGACCGCCTGGCTGGTTGACTGACCCACTGACTGTCTGACTGACCGCCTGGTTGACTGTTAGACCTAGAGACAGCCTGACTGTCCACCTGACTGACAACAAAAACAAAGTGTCCCCATATTTGCCAATTTACCTGGTTTTCTAAATCCTGGGCTAGTTGCTGTTTCTTGGCATCGGTCAAGGTTTGCTTGGTCAAGTTCGAGGGTGTGGGTGCTGTTGTTGATGACTGGAAGGTCAAATGTGGGGCCACAAGGTTTGCATCTGTGAATAGATGAAACACACATTTCTTCTTTTATTATCTTGAAAAAAAAAATTAATAAAGAATATATCCCACTATTTGCAATCTGTTCTGTTTCAGCTCTCTGTTTCTTCCTTGTATACAAGTGTCACTAATTGTTTTTGCCCTTGTATCAAACAAATCACTAGCTGTTTCTGTTCTGTTTCTGCCCTTGCATCAAACATTCACTAGCTGTTTCTGCTCTTTATTTCTGCCCTTGTATCAAACATTCACTAGCTGTTTCTGCCCTGGTATCAAACATTCACTAGCTGTTTCTGTCCTGATATCAAACATTCACTAGCTGTTTCTGCCCTGATATCAAACATTCACTAGCTGTTTCTGCCCTGATATCAAACATTCACTAGCTGTTTCTGCCCTGATATCAAACATTCACTAGCTGTTTCTGCCCTGGTATCACTAGCAGTTTCTGCCCTGGTATCAAACATTCACTAGCTGTTTCTGTCCTGATATCAAACATTCACTAGCTGTTTCTGCCCTGATATCAAACATTCACTAGCTGTTTCTGCCCTGGTATCACTAGCTGCTTCTGCCCTGATATCAAACATTCACTAGCTGTTTCTGCCCTGATATCAAACATTCACTAGCTGTTTCTGCCCTGATATCAAACATTCACTAGCTGTTTCTGCCCTGATATCAAACATTCACTAGCTGTTTCTGCCCTGATATCAAACATCCACAAGCTGTTTCTGCCCTGATATCAAACATTCACTAGCTTTTTCTGCCCTGATATCAAACATTCACTAGCTGTTTCTGCCCCGGTATCAAACATTCACAAGCTGTTTCTGTTCTGCTGAGATATATATATATATATATATATTATGGCCCACATGCGTTTCTAGACTGTTGGAAAGATCACTAAAATATGAAGGCATTAGGCTGTTACATAACTAACTACATAACCACACAGGACTAGACTATCAGATGTGTAATTAGACACAGCCTCATGGCTGGAAGACAATATGGGCAACAATTACACTAATATGATGCTAGATTTAGATGGGAACTAACATACCTCTGTAATCCAAAAATCTATGATAACTTACCCATGACATCTCCACGTTTATAACAACTCACCCATGTAATCTCCATATCTATGATAACTTACCCATGTCATCTCCACATCTGTGATAACTTATCCATGGCATATTTAAATCTATGATAATTTACATGTGTCATCTCCATATCTATGATAACTTACCCATGACATCTCTATATCTATGATAACTTACCTGTGTCATCTCCACATCTATGATAACTTACCCATGACATCTCCATATCTATGATAACTTACCTGTGTCATCTCCATCACCAGAGAAACAATCACCATCCTCACAACCCAGGAGGTTTCTGCTGTTCCAGTTGCTGGCATCGATGGCCACGTTCTTGTAGTTGGAGCTGGCCTGTCGCTTGGATCTCTCATAAACTGTCAGGAAAAACAGACCCATTATCTCAAGTCTATAGTCTCAGATTCCACAGATTATTGATCAACAGTCTATCACTCACCTGTCTATCATTGAACAGGTTATCACTCAACAATCTATCACTGAACAGGTTATCACTCAACAATCTATCACTGAACAGGTTATCACTCAACAATCTATCACTGAACAGGTTATCACTCAACAATCTATCACTGAACAGGTTATCACTCAACAATCTATCACTCAACAATCTATCACTCAACAATCTATCACTCGACAGTCTCTCACTCAACAATCTATCACTCAACAATCTATCACTCAACAATCTATCACTCAACAATCTATCACTCAACAATCTATCACTCAACAATCTGTTACTCACCTGTCTATCATTGAACAGGTTATCACTCGACAGTCTCTCACTCAACAATCTATCACTCAACAATCTATCACTCAACAATCTATCACTCAACTATCTATCACTCAACAATCTATCACTCGACAGTCTCTCACTCAACAATCTATCACTCAACAATCTATCACTCAACAATCTATCACTCGACAGTCTATCACTCAACAATCTATCACTCGACAGTCTATCACTCAACAATCTATCACTCGACAGTCTATCACTCAACAATCTATCACTCGATAGTCTCTCACTCAACAATCTATCACTCAACAATCTATCACTCGACAGTCTATCACTCAACTTTACATAACTCAACAGTCTATTGTGCAACAGTCTGTTACTCACCTGTCTATCACTGAATATGTTGTCACTCGAAAGTCTATCACTCAACAGTCTATCACTCAACAGTCTATCACTTAACAGTCATTCACCATTTATATATACAAATGGATACACAGTACATATATGTGTATGGAAACATCTGTGCACTTAAACACACACCTGAACAGGCCTAGACAATGTCACACATCAACTTACATGTGTGGCTTCATGAAATGAGTTAGTAGACTGTTGAGTGATGAGTGCTGAATGACTGTTGGGTGGTAGACTGTTGGGTGATAGATTGTTGAGTGATATATTGTTGAGTAATATACTGTTGAGCAATAGATTAAAGCAATATTCCCCCATTGTGAATTTGAACAAAAAAGTCCCAAACAACAGACTGCACAAATTATTGCCTGGCATATTTCGCTGTGTCTCGTCAGGTGCAAACTACAGTAACAATTGATTAAAATGAAGCAGATAAATGAAACCTTCAAACTGAAACAAAACCGACTACATCCTCACATTGTCTGTTTTACCAGGGTAAGCGCAAAGTGACGAGCATTTCTTTCTGTCGGCATAAATTGTTGTGTGATAGAGTGTAGCGTGTTAGACTGTTGAGTGATAGACTTTAGCGTGTTAGACTATTGAGTGATAGATTGTCGATATATATATATATACATATGCATATTAATTGTGTTTATACATATGCGTGGTTAGGGTCACGTAAATCTCCCCAAACAATGTAGGCCAATTGTCCTTCACAAGTTTGTTAGGCTGGTCGACTTTCATGAATATTACAGGTGTGTTCCGCTCTATTGTTTGCCGTCTGAGTTGTCTTGCATTCACGTTTTCATTATGAGAAAGAGAATGCCTGTGACATAGATTGCAGCACTCTCGGGGGGGGGGGGGTGGTGGTAGGGCCAGTTGCTCTATGTTTTTTATCGTTAAAAGCACTGGCGTGCAGAAATATACAACACGCGATATCAACGGCATCACGGAACACCCCCGTAACCTTGTACCAAGGAACTACCAATCAGAAGTGAGCTAGTGTGTATATGGGTGGGGCGTGGGGGAGATTGACGTTACTCTAACCCATATGCGTGTCTGTTGCACATTTTACTACATCACATACGCAATGGGCAGCAATGATCCTACAACAACAAAAACACTGACAGCGATAATTAATACAGCAACAACTACAAAAGCAGCAGCAGCAACAACAAGAGCAACAGCACACTGAGATATACCTGAGGCACGATGTAACAGCTTCATATGGCCGCCTTGCATGGCTATGAAATGTTCCTTGAACATCTGACACTCCCAGCTGCTCTCCTGAATACAGGCTACCTTTAGGCTCATGGCCGCCATCTTCTCCGGCACCACACCAGTACCGGCTTCTGCTGACATCTTCTCCTGGGGTGTTTCTCCTATTTCCTGTACATCAGGAACGATGTCTTGGCCGGGCTTGGCCTGGGACATCTTGCCCCCGTCCTGGAGCCGACCACGTGAAGGCTGCCTCCTCTGACGGTCTGCCAGCAACAACTGCTCCCCCTCTAGGTCGATGACATCATCTTTCTTGGTGTAGGCTGTATTTTCTGAACCACCGACAGGTGAGTCTTGGGCTGTGGCAAGTCTGAGCCTGGGCTGAGTTTTAGGAGCTCTTTCTGTGACCGAGGTTTGATTTTGTGTTAGCTGTAAATCTAACACGTGACTTGCGCGCTTGCTGTCAGATTGTCCTTGGGATGCAAAATAGCCAAGACAGAGACACAATAAGTAATCAAGACAGACAGATAATAAGTAACCAAGACAGACAGATAATAAGTAACCAAGAGAGAGAGAGAGAGAGAGAGAGAGAAAGAGAGAAAAAAAAAGAGAGAGAGAGAGAGAGAGAGCGCGAAAGAGAGGAAGAGATGGAGAGAGAGACTGAGTAATCAAGAGACATAATAAGAAGTGAAGACAGAGACACAATAAGTAATCAAGACAGAGACACAAAAAGTAAACAAGACAGAGACACAATAAGTAAACAAGACAGAGGCACAATAAGTAATCAAGACAGAGACACAATAAGTAAACAAGACAGAGACACAATAAGTAATCAAGACAGAGACACAATAAGTAATCAAGACAGAGACACAATAAGTAAACAAGACAGAGACACAATAAGTAAACAAGACAGAGACACAATAAGTAAACAAGACAGAGACGTTGGAAGCCTCCACCACCCACACCCTGCCCACCACCCACACCCTGCCCACCACCCACACCCTGCCCACCACCCACACCCTGCCCACCACCCACACCCTGCCCACCACCCACACCCTGCCCACCACCCACACCCTGCCCACCACCCACACCCTGCCCACCACCCACACACTGCCCAACACCACCCCCCCCCCAAAAAAAAAACAAAAACTTAACAAAGTGGGGACCCTTCCCCCTTCCCCCATCCGCCTAATTATTGAAATCATATGCAAAATATAAACAAATACTGGTAAAGAAAATTTATGTATGTGGTGTAGTGTGTGTGGTGTGTGTGTGGTGTGGTGTGTGTGTGGTGTGGTGTGTGTGTGTGGTGTGTGTGTGGTGTGTGTGTGTGGTGCACAAGCATTCAGACAGACACACACACGTGCGTGCGCGCACATGCACAAGCATTCAGACAGACACACACACGTGCGTGCGCGCACATGCACAAGCATTCAGACAGACACACACACGTGCGTGCGCGCACATGCACAAGCATTCAGACAGGCAAAGAGAGAACACTGTATGCCTACATGGTCAGACTGAAAAGCGCGAGAGAGCGCGCGTGAGCACACACACACACACAGACAGAAACACACTCACACACCACAAAAAAGAGCTACCTCAGAGTCTGTGCCTAGAATTGACAGGAGGTAACGTACACACACTCACACACCACACACACACACACACACACACCACACACACACCACATTACACACACACCACACCACGCCACATCACACACACACACATACACACACCACAAAGAAAGAGCTATCTGAGAGTCCGTGCCTAGAATTGCCAGGAGGTAACATACACACACACACCCCCCACACACACACACACACCAAACCACACACCACACCACACACACGCCACACACCACGCCACACACCACACACACACTCACAACACAAAGAAAATACTACCTGAGAGTCTGTGCCTAGACATGCCAGGAGGTAACGTACACACACCCCACACACACAGACACACCACACACACACCACACCACACACACACCACACCACACACACACAACACAAAGAAAGAGCTCCCTGAGAGTCTGTGCCTAGACATGCCAGGAGGTAACGTACACACACACCCCACACACACACACCACACCACACACCACACCACACCCCACATACACCACACACCACACACACTCCACACACACACACACACCACTCACACACACACAACACAAAGAAAGAGCTACCTGATAGTCTGTGCCTAGACATGCCAGGAGGTAACGCAGGTAGAAGATGGTCCTGTAGCAAGCTGAGGTCTGGCACTGCCGAGTTTGTGGCCTCGTTTAGGATTTCCCACTCGGAGGCCACACCTGCGGGACAGACAGACAGACGCGTCATGCTGAGTGCAACAGTGGATTGCCGGCTTTGTGTAACCTAGACTGGAACACTCGTGCTTCTGTATAGCCTAACCCGTGTGCTAGACTGGAATACTTGTGCTTCTATATAGCCTAACCCATGTGCTAGACTGGAACACTTGTGCTTCTGTATAGCCTAACCCGTGTGCTAGACTGGAATACTTGTGCTTCTATATAGCCTAACCCATGTGCTAGACTGGAACACTTGTGCTTCTGTATAGCCTAACCCGTGTGCTAGACTGGAACACTCGTGCTTCTGTATAGCCTAACCCATGTGCTAGACTGGAACACTCGTGCTTCTGTATAGCCTAACCCGTGTGCTAGACTGGAACACTCGTGCTTCTATATAGCCTAACCCATGTGCTAGACTGGAACACTCGTGCTTCTGTATAGCCTAACCCGTGTGCTAGACTGGAACACTCGTGCTTCTGTATAGCCTAACCCATGTGCTAGACTGGAACACTCGTGCTTCTGTATAGCCTAACCCGTGTGCTAGACTGGAACACTCGTGCTTCTATATAACCCAGAAATAACCCAGAGATAAGTCAATTTACTGATGTTGTGTTTTGTTATTTATATTTGTGGTACTGTATATTTGATGTCCTGTGCTGAGGAAGACTCTTTAGCCATATGTGTTTGCGAAATTTGAAGCTGGCTGGTTCAGCTTTTCGCTTGGGTTGATATCTGTCAATGAAAACTTCCAAAAAGTTGTAACTGGAGGAACAGTGGCGGCTTCAGCGTGTCGATGTAAGCGCACCTGCTCGGCTTATAGATTGTCTGGTGCGTGCACATTTGCCCTCAGCATGTCGATGTAAGCGCACTTGCCCGGCTTATAGATTATCTGGTGCGTGCACATTTGTCTTCAGCGCTGACCGGATATCCGAGACCTCCACAAGACAGAAGTGAAGTTAGGGGGTGTCGGAAATTATCAACTTTCACGACCAACAGTCATCGAATGTCTAGGTCACCGTCATCGAATGTCTGAGTCACCGTCATCAAATGTCTGAGCCACCGTCATCGAATGTCTGGGTCACCTTCATCGAGTGTCTGGGTCACCGTCATCGAGTGTCTGGGTCACCGTTATCGAGTGTCTGGGTCACCGTTATCGAATGTCTGGGTCACCGTTATCGAGTGTCTGGGTCACCGTTATCGAATGTCTGAGTCACCGTCATCGAGTGTCTGGGTCACCGTCATCGAGTGTCTGGGTCACCGTTATCGAATGTCTGGGTCACCGTCATCGAATGTCTGGGTCACCGTCATCGAGTGTCTGAGTCACCGTTATCGAATGTCTGAGTCGCCTTCATCACCCGTTGACGATGGGAAATTTATCACCTACAGTCAAATGCGGAGACAAATCAAACAATTGATGACGATCTATATATCAAATAAAAATGTTGAATTAAGAATTGACATTATAGCACTCGGGACACCCCCATAAGCACCCTGTCCCCATCTTCAGCAGCAAACAAAGAGTTTAAATTCTGATGGCACCAGTAACTTTCTGATTGTATATCCGTCTCGCCTTTCCCTTGAGTGTTGAGCGTCAGTCAGATCCCCTGGTAACTCCTTGCAGTGCCATTCTCCTAAGACCGTAATGAAATATTTGCGCCTCCGCACTGTTCATTCGCTCTCAGAGGGCCCTCACAACGTCTAGCTTGTCATACATCAATTCACCACCAAGTGGTGCAGAACCGGTCAGTATATCTGCCTGCTCATCTCCCAACACACCGGCATAACCTTAAGGAGAGAATATCCAAAGGATGCTAACTACTCGGGACCTCTAAAGTGGTGCTTGCCACTCAGCACGGTGCAAACCTAGATAGACATCTCGATGTCAATAAATGCAAACCTAGATAGACATCTCGATGTCAATAAATGCAAACCTAGATAGACATCTCGATGTCAATAAATGCAAACCTAGATAGACATCTCGATGTCAATAAATGCAAACCTAGATAGACATCTCGATGTCAATAAATGCAAACCTAGATAGACATCTCAATGTCAATAAATGCAAACCTAGATAGACATCTCGATGTCAATAAATGCAAACTTATTCTCTGAAAGTTTACTTCAAGCACTCAGGTCAAACCTTTATTTTCGGTTAAGAAAAAGGAAAACACACACACACACACACACACACACACACACACACACACACACGCACGCACGCACACACACACACGCACACGCACACACATACACACACACACACAAGAATTTGAGATTGCTGAAGGGGTATTTTGAAACTTGAGGACTCTCTTACCAAACAATAGCATCTCTCCCTTCTCAGTGCCATCATCCCATTTGCTCTCGACTTTTCTCAGGAAAATAAAGTAAATTTAAATTGTCGTTTATTTCGTCTTATTTCTCTTGTATTTATATATTTTAGGGTGTGAATTTGTGTGCGTTCCGGCGCGCGCGCGTGCGCGCGTGTGTGTATGTATGTGTATGTCTGTGTATGTGTGTGTGCGCGCGTGTGTGTGCGTGTGTGTGTGTGTATGTGTGTGTGTGTGTGTGTGTACACAGGAAGTATAACCAGAATGTTGAATAGGATTTCAATATGAAAAAAATGTGCTACTACTGTGGCGAAATGACGTCACTAACAGCTGTTGGAGACATGTCACGATTGTGAATGAATGTAGGGGATTCCCCCTCACGGCCTCACCCATTCATAAGAGTATCTGTAGCTAGTGTAGGTAAACTAGAACTAGCTCGTCATTAATGTCTGCATGGATGGATGACAGGAATCTGACCACAGCCGGACTCTCTGCACGTGTGCTAATGGCAGGAGAGAACTTGACAGTTTGATCCCGCATACAAACGGGTGCTGGTTCCCTGACTATCTCCCAGCGCCCGCCAGTCCCCCAACTCCCACTAGTCCCCCAACTCCCGCTAGTCCCCAGCTCCCCCAACTCCCGCTAGTCCCCCAGCTCCCCCAACTCCCGCTAGTCCCCAGCTCCCCCAACTCCCGCTAGTCGCCCAGCTCCCCCAACTTCTGCCAGCGCCCGCCAGTCTCCCTGCCAGTCTCCCTCCGTCCGCTAGTCCCCAGCTCCCCCAACTCCCGCTAGTCCCCAGCTCACCCAACTCCCGCTAGTCCCCCAGCTCCCCCAACTCCCGCTAGTCCCCCAACTCCCGCTAGTCCCCAGATCCCCCAACTCCCGCTAGTCCCCAGCTCCCCTAACTCCCGCTAGTCCCCTAGCTCCCCCAACTTCTGCCAGCGCCCGCCAGTCTCCCTGCCAGTCTCCCTCCGTCCGCCAGTCCCCGAGCTCCCCCAACTCCCGCCAGCGACCGCCAGTCTCCCTGCCAGTCTCCCTCCGTCCGCCAGTCCCCCAGCTCCCGCTAGCACCCGCCAGTCCCCCCAGCACCCGCCAGTCTCCCTCCGTCTGCCAGTCTCCCAGCACCCGCCAGTCCCCCAGCGCCCGCTAGTCTCCCAGCACCCGCCAGCCTCCCTCCGTTTGCCAGTCTCCCAGCGCCCATCGGTCCCCCAGCGCCCACCGGTCCCCCAGCGTCTGACAGTCTCCTAGCGCCCAAAAGTCTCCCAGCGCCTTACGGTCTCCTAGCGCCTGCCAGTCTCCCTCCGTCCGCTAGTCCCCCAACGCCCGCCGGTTCCCCAGCGCCCACTGGTCTCCCAGCGCCCAACAGTTATGTAACATTTGCAAATGTCCGTACTCGCCTGACAAAGTTGATTCCCACAATGCCAAGCCTCCACTTGTGGCAGAGACTTTAGACAGGCGTAGAAATCATGGCTCTGTAGGCGGTTGTGGGGGGGGGGGGGGGGGGGCTTCATTGTTGTCCGCGACATTTACGTGTTTTCCTAGTCACAAACACACACACACACACACACACACAAACACACACACACACATACCACATACACGCTTACTTATATACACTGCCATAACATTTATACATGCAAACCCAGCGCGCTGACTAAGCTCGTTAAACCAGCTGCACGGCGACGGGGTGACAAACTCCTTTTGGTACGAGTTCACGCCCGGGGGTGGACAGAAAAGCTACATTTCTCCCAGATTTATGGTATCTGTCATGGAATCAAGGCCGAAGGATTGCTATATCCACAGTACCGAGCCAAAGGTTTGAGATATCCATAGTACCGAGCCAAAGGCTTGCGATATCCACAGTACAGAACCAAAGGCTTGCGATATCCACAGTACCGAGCCAAAGTGTTGCGATATCTATAATACTGAGCCTAAGGGTTGCGATATTCATAGTACTGAGCCAAAGGGTTGCGATATCCACAGTACCGAGGCAAAGGGTTGCAATATCCACAGTACCGAGGCAAAGGGTTGAGATATCCCTAATACTGAGTCAAAAGGTTGCGATATCCATAGTGCTGAGCCAAAGGGTTGCGGTATCCATAGTACTGAGCCAAAGTGTTGCGATATCCACAGTACAGAGCCAAAGGGTTGCGATATCCACAGTACAGAGCCAAAGGGTTGCGATATCCACAGTACAGAGCCAAAGGGTTGCGATATCCACAGTACTGTACAAAGGGTTGCGATATCCACAGTACCGTACAAAGGGTTGCGATATCCACAGTACTGTACAAAGGGTTGCGATATCCACAGTACCGTACAAAGGGTTGCGATATCCACAGTACTGTACAAAGGGTTGCGATATCCACAGTACAGAGCCAAAGGGTTGCGATATCCACAGTACTGTACAAAGGGTTGCGATATCCACAGTACCGTACAAAGGGTTGCGATATCCACAGTACTGTACAAAGGGTTGCGATATCCACAGTACCGTACAAAGGGTTGCGATATCCACAGTACCTTACAAAGGGTTCACAACTCATGGTTTCCGGATAGGGAAAAAAAATACACATGCCCCCCCCCAAAAAAAATGCACTTACACATAATGACATACACACACAAGCACGCACTCACACACAAGCACGCACTCACACACAAGCACGCACTCACTCACAAGCACGCACTCACACACAAGCACGCACTCACACACAAGCACGCACTCACACACAAGCACGCACTCACACACAAGCACGCACTCACACACTTGAAGGTTTTAACAGGCGCCTACTACGAAAAAAAAGAGGGTGGGCGGGGGGAAAGGGGGGGGGGGGCTAAGATAATATAGTAATTTGACACAAACCTGGCCGGCCAGTAGCAAATACACAATAGCAGGGAGATAACAGGATGGAGACATGACATTCTAGGAAGTTCAGATTCACTTAGGAATTCATTTGTGAGTTGAAACAAGTCAACAAGGACATTCAGGCGTAGACATGCTTGACTGTTTAGTAAGTGAAAGACAACTTCCCTTATTCCAGTCAGGATTGGGGAAATCAAACAAGTATCCTACACTTCCTGTGATTCGGTCATTAAACCCCTAATTAAGGAGTCAACTTACCAGCAATCAACAGAGCACACAGACACACGTGACCAACTTGTGAAATCAACATTGTGATCAACTCAGTGGTACTGTTAGGAACTGTTCAACAGAAGTCTCGCCCACGGCTTTCAGGATCCCAGGTATAATCCGCACAATAAATGGCTTTCCTAAAATCCTGGCTTTCCCACAGAAATGATCCAGCGGACCGAGAACACACTGACCAGCACACTTGAGGACTGTTCCTTGGTCAACTGTAAACTGCGGACACAGATGATTACCGAAGTGGCAGTTTTCACCAATCAGATATTTTCTTTAGCTTCCCAGATCCTTGACCATTGGTGGTGTCCGTGAGATGGCACTGGGAGAACTAATGGGGTATGGCACTGGTCGAGTTAGTGGGGTCTGATCCGCTATCGTTGGTACTACACTTTTATTAAGAACAAAGTCCGTGACTTTATTGCATATATATAAAACACTGTCACTGTAAATAATCTACAAAAGCCTGCACTGGTGTCTGGTTCTCTCGTTATTTGTTATCACAACATTTTCTGGCAAGCCATTTTCAAATCTGGCTTTATATAGGCCTCTAAATATAGGTAGCAGGTCATTTGCATACGTATGGCATATTAACTGCATTGGTGAAATATAGGTGGGGGATGGGCGGGCAGGGAGGTGACGTCAAGACCGATAACCGAGGGTATGCATCAACTGGTGGCTGTATGAGGACAGCGGACCGTGAACTGTGACACGGGCTTCTCCGCCAGCGATCCCACAGGAGCGGCGCCGTTAGCCCTACAATAAACCTTTCATCATTCCTTGCCAGGCGAAGCGTGTGAACTGGGGCTCAAAGTGCTGGACTGCTGATACCAGAGCTAGCCGGACCCAAGACATCAACAAACATCTTTGTTTTCTGATTTAGATAAAAACGTCACTTACTGGCAAACAAACAGGCAGAGGCATAATTTGACGCCTACGATTTCGTATATTTCTTGTCCTCCAAAGAAATATATGTCTATATATAACTTCGTATATTTCTTGTCCTCCAAAGAAATATATGTCTACATATAACTTCCTATATTTCTTGTCCTCCAAAAAATTATGTCTTTATAATTCCAAGTATTTCTTGCTGTCCGATGAGACACATGTCTGTATAATTTTAAGTATTTCTCGCCCTTCCATGAGACACATGTCTGTATAAATTCACGTATTTCTTGCCGTTCCAGGAGATACATGACTATATAATTTCACGTATTTCGTGCCCTCCGATAAAACATGTCCCTACAATTTCATTGATTTCTTGTCCTCCTATAAAAGATATATGTCTTTTTGATGTCGATAATTCTTGCCGACCCGCGAGATACATGACTATAAAATTTCATTTATTTCTTGTTTTCCCAGGAGACACATGTCTATAAAATTTCACTTATTTCTTTTTCTCTCATGAAATATGTGTCTATATAATTTAATATATTTCTTGTCCTCCCAAGAGACATGTCTATTTAATTTTTTTCATTTCTTGCTGTCCAATGAGGCACATGTCTATAAAGCTTCATTAATTTCATCCCTCCGGTGAGACCCATGACTGTATAATTTCACTTATTTCTTGCCCTGAAATGAGACACATGGCTATATAATTTCATGTATTTCTTGTCCTTAAATGAAACAGATGGCTATATAATTTCATGTATTTCTTGCGCCGAAAAAAGACACATGGCTATATAATTTCAGGTATTTCTTGAGCTTCCATGAGACAGGTGACTATATAATTTCACGTATTTCTTGAGCTTCCATGAGACATATGTCTACACAATTTCATATATTTCTTATCCTCTCATTATGTATTTATTGCACCGCCATACTAAGGCATGTGTCTATATAATTTCATGCATTTTCCCCCCCACATGAGACACATGACTATATAAATTCATGTATTTCTTGTCCTCCCATAACGAACTAGTCTATACAGTTTCCTGTATTTCTTGCCGTGCTATACTGAGGCACACGTCTATATAATTTAATGTATTTCTTACCCTTCTAAGAGACATATGTCTATATAATTTCATGTAAATCTTACCCTCTCTTGAGAGATGACTATATAATTTCATGTATTTCTTGGCTTGTCATGAGGCACATCGCTATATAATTTCATGTATTTTTTGGCTTGTCATGAGACACATGGCTAAATAATTTCATGTATTTCTTGGCTTACCATGAGACACATGGCTATATAATTTCATGTATTTCTTAGCTTGCCATGATGCACACGACTGTTTAATTCCATATATTTCTTTCCCTCCCATACTGAGACATATGTTGATATTGATTCATTTATTTCTTGGCCTCCCATACTAACATTCATGTCAATACGATATCAGGAGATGATGGGACACTGAGAAATAGTAGAATATTAGGAGACGAGGAGACATTTGGAGACGCTGGAACATTGAGAGATGTTCAGACATTGAGAAATGGTGGAACACAGAGATGGTGGGACACTCGCAGATTTTGAGACATTGGGAGATCCCGGGACATGAGGAGAATGTGGGACATTGAAAAGTGGTGACGTTTTGGGAAATGTTGAGACATATGGGGATGTTGGTGCAGTGGGGTATTGAGAGGACAGTGAGAGACGGTGGGACATTGAGAGATGATGGGACAGTGCGAGAAGGTAAGACAGTGGAAGATGGTGGGACAAGAATGGTGGGACAACGAGAGACTTTGGAACACTGAGAAATAATTGGACACAGATGGATTATGGGGCATTGAGAGATGGTGGTGCATTAAGAGAGGATTGGACATTGAGGAATGGTTGGACAGTGAAAGTTGCTGGGAAAGTGGGATATGGTGGGACAGTGAGAGATGGTGGGACAGTGAGAGATGGTGGGACAGTGAGAGATGGTGGGACAGTGAGAAATAATGGAGTGTTGAGAGATAGCGGGACACACACACACACACACATACACACAAACACACTCCATGTGTGCTCTCGGCACTTATTGAAGTGGTGTGTGTATGTTAGTGCCGTTGTGGACCAAGCTAGGATGAGGGCCAATGCGAGGGCCAGTCCTAAAGTCGTCCCCGTGCGCTTCCTTAAGGCTGGGCAGATTCATAAAGGTAAATTCAACAAAGTCGCATACTCTCCATCGATGCTAGACTGTGCGAGGGACTGGTTACTAGCTGTTGACCTGCCTGGTCATAAAAAGTAGAGTTAATCCGGAACACTGGCCTGCAAACTGACATAGTTCTTCACTCTGCGGAGAAACGTCAGCTTATCCTGATTGAGCTGACCGTGCGGGATGAGTCGCGAATGGACGAAAGCCAAATGTACAAGCTCGAGAAGTACAGTGACTTAGCGGCTGGTCTGAGGAGTTACGAAGCGTACACAGTAAGAATCTTCGCCGTCGAGGTAGGCGCAAGAGGTCTCGTTTCCACTTCAATGTACAATGTGATTAAACAACTAGGCTTACGAGGTAATGAACGCAAACGAACACTTAAACAACTGGGCGAGGTTGCTGAGAGGGCCTCGAGCTGGCTCTGGACACAATGGAACGTCGTGGGGGACGGGCCTCGGTGAGCTGGTGCGGGTGTCTAGTGGAAAAGAATGTCTTATCCCTCAAAGTCCATCGTGTCCGAATTGCCTGCCAGTGTCCCTTTGCCACCTGCTAACAAAGTCCAACATGTGTTTGGTAAACCAAACGTAAGCTTGCCACTTGGTCGTCCAGGTAAGCAGACTGCTTTAATTATGCTACCACAACGACTTCATATCTCACATTACCTTTTGCAAAGTCACCAATTCGTCTTGTCCCTGTCAGATAACATCCGGTAATCTGCTCATCCGAGAGGGGTCTCCAAAAGCTCACATGAAAGCCTCTTTGTTGTCTGTGTGACATCCAGCCTAGCAGCCTTAAGTCCCCAATCAGCCAGTTTATGTCTGCAGGTTCTCAAGTGTGTCACAGTGACTTAGCTGTTTGCAAGGAGATCATGGAAATACAAAATCAGTCCTTGAGACTATGTTATCTTGATCTGCGGACGCTTGTATAAACAGTCACTAGATATTCGTCGGCAACTGTTGATTTATGCATAAATTATCCACCAGCAGATAAAGCCATTATAAGGAGAGGGCTGAGACTACAGGACACAGAGTGGCGGACACACTGACTGACGGACAGGCAGATAGGAGTTACAACTGAACACTGGTGTGTCTGCGACCGATCAAAGTTTCCTCAATTAAACACGCATGTTTGGCTTTGCGAAAGCGGGTAGATGGGCTCGAGTTGACTTCTGGGCTCTCACTCAAAAGGAAGGGGTGGTGGTGCAAGGTCCTGAGAGAAAGGCCTAGGATGGAGACGGGTGTGTGTGTCTTAGGGTGGGTAAAACTGGGAGCTAGTGAGCTTTGTCTGTCAGGGCTGCTCCTATATTCTTGAGGCGGACTTGGTGCCAGAATGTCTAGAACTGTGGTAACAGATAGAAGGGAAAACACAGTGCTCTTTCAGACACGATTGTTTGCTTCTGTGATTGTGTATTTCTGTGATTGTGTAGTGCTGTGATTGTGTAGTGCTGTGATTGTGTAGTGCTGTGATTGTGTATTTCTGTGATTGTGTAGTGCTGTGATTGTGTAGTGCTGTGATTGTGTAGTGCTGTGATTGTGTAGTGCTGTGATTGTGTATTTCTGTGATTGTGTAGTGCTGTGATTGTGTAGTGCTGTGATTGTGTAGTGCTGTGATTGTGTAGTGCTGTGATTGTGTAGTGCTGTGATTGTGTAGTGCTGTGATTGTGTAGTGCTGTGATTGTGTAGTGCTGTGATTGTTTAGTTCTGTGATTGTGTAGTGCTGTGATTGTGTAGTGCTGTGATTGTGTAGTGCTGTGATTGTGTAGTTCTGTGATTGTGTAGTGCTGTGATTGTGTAGTGCTGTGATTGTGTAGTGCTGTGATTGTGTAGTGCTGTGATTGTGTAGTGCTGTGATTGTGTAGTGCTGTGATTGTGTAGTGCTGTGATTGTGTAGTGCTGTGATTGTGTAGTGCTGTGATTGTGTAGTGCTGTGATTGTGTAGTGCTGTGATTGTGTAGTGC